CAGGATGCTGTAACATTCATGGACTCCTATTGCTTGATGAGAGAAGATGTTGAAAATATTATGGAAATATCCAGCTGGGGAGGCAAACCTAGTCCCTTTTCTAAACTGGACCCCAAGGTAAAATTCACTAGTTATGTTCTGCTATTACCTCCTCCTATAAATGTATGGTAATTCTTTGGCCTTATGAATAAAACACAGAATAGCATCCACTGTGATGTGGCATTGGGACAGGAGATGGATGGCTGAAGCAGGTTACCATTTCTGCTCCCAGAGTTACAATTTTGAAAGCTGATCTATAACCATGCTTTCAAGTACTCAGTAGCCAAGTGACTGAATCTCAAAAAAGAAATACAGATTAGGCCCTCAGTATGCATCTTAGATGCATCCTCCTGTGTACTCCCCACATTCCTTTCCCTGATAGCTGTCTCCTTCTCTGCAAGCCTTAGGCATACAAATACTCTTCTCTGGGGGAATCCTTGGCCAGATCATAGCTTGGTTAGCCAAAAAATGTATAGAGTCTTTAATTTAGTGCTTATAGTGTGTCTCCCACTCCTGAACAGGTCAAAGCAGCTTTTACACGTGCCTATAACAAAGAGGCACATTTGACACCATATACCCTGCATGCAGTAAAAACATCTAAACGGCTGCCAGGGCCCGGGTTGGCTTCAGAAGTGAATGAAGAATTGAATGCTGACGAATTGCAGTCTGATGAGGATGAGCAAGATACTATTGAAAGTGATGCAATGATCAAGGTAATACTTTCAGCTAATAGTAGAGACGTGTAACACCAAGGAAACCCATCTGTCTCCTGTGAGAAGTTGGACCATCTTACCAGGGCTCATTGCACCGGGGCTAGAATACACACTTGCCGGTTTGCTGGGTGTTTAACTTTGACTCTCCTAAATCTCATCTTGTTGCAAACTGGGTAGCATTTTCTGATGGTAGGTTTGAAATTTTGGCTGGAGCACTGTTGTCTATGTCATGTAGCAGTTTATAGGGTCTCACTTCACTCAGCCAATTTTCAACTTGGTGCTTTCTGTTTGTAATGCAATTGAACACCTCATCTGATCAATTCCATAATTTCAGGGAATGCTTTCGGCATCAATAGGACAGACCTTGACCACTTCGGTGAAAATCGGAAAAGCAAAAGGGCAACTTGCAGAGCTCTTTGCATCTGGTTGCCAGAGCCAGCACTTTCAATCCACTCTAATTGTCTATAAAACAAATGTTTTGCTGACACCAGCAATTTCTCTGTGTTGCTCATTGTCCCAATACAGTTTAAAATGTTGTTGCCATCCTGAATGCCTTAACTCCCAGACAGAGAAGAATGGTGGGGGAGGTACAGAGCCCCTGGTGTGCAGGAGATGGAAGGGTGGCACACAGGGACTTTTTAGGGAAGGAATGGAGGGATGCAAGGAGCCCCTAGATGTAATGAAGTGTATGGCCCTGGTCCTGTTTCACTGTAGAGGTTTTATTTAGGTTACTGACTGCTTCAGGATTAGGACACAAATTGGAAGTAACTGATATTGTCTGTTTAGGATATCCTTATTGAGAATGTTGCCATGCTGATTGTTTTCTGTCACAATGTGGCACGGCACACTGAACCTGCATTTTAAACTTTAACATTTTATTTCCAGCAAAAAAAGGCAAAGTCATCTTCCAAGCTGTCAAAAGCAGCAAACGGCAAAGAAACAAAAAAAGGAAAAGGAAAAGGAAAGAAATGAGAAACTGAACTGTTCAATACTGACTGATTACATTGGGTAACCACTCTAGCTTTGGACACAGCTTTGCTTGCTCAGTGATACCCACTTTCAGTAATGTGAAGCAGTGATTCCATTGCAGCTGGAAGGGTAGAACCAGTGGGCTGAAAATGCTCCTCTTATAGAGGTAGTGTGGCTGCTTTGCAATCCAAATATGCAGGGGTAATGTAAATGTTTACAATCTTTTTTTTTTTTTATGCTTTGGAGCATGTTAACAAAATGCAGACTTTAGTCTGCTGCTGGAAGGTCACCTGTAGTTTCAGCAGTAACATGTTGAAAGAGGGGTTTAGCTTCCTGCAATTTATACTAATAGTTTTCTTCACAGGACTTTGAACCTTTTTACTAAATCTCTGCTATTATGTGGTGAAATCTTGTACATACTGCAAAAAATTTAAATTGCATATTTCTTTTGTACATTATAAAAATGCAGCAATGTATAAAATTGCAATAAAATTAGTTTCACAAATATTTTGGCTTATTCAGGTTCTCCCCCCCTCTTTTCCATAGCTTGGAGACCATATTTGTCCCCAGCAAGTCTTAATAACAATCGACATGAGCTTTTGGGGCTACAGTGTGTATTAGAATTTCTTCCCTGGGTTTTGCCTTCCACCTCCATTCTCCCCCTCATTTTGTTGAATTAGAGAGGCATGGAAAAGCTCTATTATTGTCTGGTTTAAGCCAGCAGTGGAAAATACTCAATGAGAATTAGCACTTCTGGATGCTTTTGTGCTATGGAATTAAAATTGCATGTATTCATTATGAAAATGACGAGGAGGAGGAGGAGATGTTTAAGGCTCTACACAGGGGTGGGCAAACTATGGCCTGCAGGCTGGATTGCTGGCCTACGAACTCCTGCTGGGGAGCGGGGTCCGGGGCTTGCCCTGCTCTGGTGCTCCAGCCGGGGCATTGGATTGTCATGGCATAGCCCTGCTCCGAGAGTGTTCCATGCATAGGAGCCAGAGAAGGGACATGCCATTGCTTCCAGGAGCTGCTTGAGGTAAGTGTAACTCAGAGCCTGCACCCCTGAGCCTCTCCTCATCCCCAGCCCCACCCACACCCCCAACCCCAATTTTGTGAGCATTCATGGCCCTCCATACAATTTCTATTCCCCGATGTGGCCCTCAGCCCAAAAAGTTTGCCCATCCCTGCTCTATAGTGCCCTTACTGCATTGTTTAGGAACTAAAAGTTCAAAGCATAGGAAAAAATCCCAAAGCCTGATAGACTTTGGGTAAAAGCATATTGGGCTTTCTCCCCCCTCCATTGAATTTCTAGCTCAAGTTTCCTAAGCAGTCTTGTGGAATTGAAGCAATACAGACAGGATATTGTAAAGGTTGCCATTATAATTTAAACACCACTAACAGTTAGAAAAACTTTAAATAGGTATACCCCAAGGTTCTGAGATTAGTGCAATGTCCTCTTTATTATGCTAAATTTCTGTGGTGTTTACTTCCTTCAGCTATTTGTATTACTTATCCACATCTCCTAGCTATCGACCCCTCCAGTAATGAATTGCCTATAAATGAACACACATGGAAGCGATCACCTCAGAGCTGTAGAGGGAATTCTATTGTTTCTACCCTCTCAAATGAAGTGACAAATTGACATATGCAGCAGAGAATGCTGAAACGAAGAGTTGGCACTATTCCCATTTGTGCTGCTGAAGCTGAACAGACTTTATCAATTAAAGTTAAACGCAAGGATAAAATTGGATTTATTCTGCTTTCAGTAAGTACATTTGTAAACATTTTGTTAATTTTTGTATCACAAAATGGAGAACTGACAACTGCTCCAGTATTAAATTGTTTGGAAAAAATATCCACCAAACTGATAAGGAGCTTCCTTAATGGCCCAACACTCCAGGAGGACCCAATCATTCTGAAAATGAAGAGGAGCAGTTATTCAGTCTTCAAAATAGAGGCAACTGTATCAAACTGACTTTTCAATGCATTAACAAATTAATCTGGTCAATCTTCTAATAATGAACTATTATTATTATAAAACAACCTCTTTCATAGTCAGGATTGATGTTTAAATACAATAGTTGGAGAAGATATGTACTACAACTAAAAAGTGAAATATTAGTGTGCTGCTTATGGTGGCAGTTTCTTTTTAAAAGTGCTTAATACACAGTGTAAATCTACAGGACTGTAGGTACAATACACTACTCTCACGTAAGAATAGTTGGTAGCTGAACAGTACTATGCTTTGTCCACTTGAACTACAAACCAATGTGTAGATTCTAGCTAAACATTCTCTCCAAAACTTTCTGGTACCTGAAAATAGAATTAGGATGTCAAATAGTGGATCCAAAATGTTAACCAGTACAGTATTTACTGTAAAATAGGGTAAAGAGTGAATTAATGGCAGAAGGTGGTGAGAATTTGGTTGCATTTTTTGAAGACTGAGCATTTCAAGCCAAAACTTGCTACCTGAAGTTGTCAAACAGGATGGCAAGAAGGCACTACAAACCATTAGTTTTGATTCTTATTTATCACATAGATGGGTTCTCAATCTGCTTCCGCCTGTAGCCACTACCATGTGCTTGGTGCTGCACATATTCTTCATCTTTGACTGACTCTAAAATTTGGAGGGCAAGGAATACCATGCAGTTCTCATATAAACAAGCAAATTAGTATACTAAGTTTTCGCAAAAAGAAAAGGAGTACTTGTGGCACCTTAGAGACTAACCAATTTATTTGAGCATGAGCTTTCGTGAGCTACAGCTCACTTCATCAGATGCATACCGTGGAAACTGTAGCAGACTTTATATATACACAGAGAATATGAAACAATACCTCCTCCCACCCCACTGTCCTGCTGGTAATAGCTTATCTAAAGTGATCATCAGGTGGGCCATTTCCAGCACAAATCCAGCACAAATGGCCCACCTGATGATCACTTTAGATAAGCTATTACCAGCAGGACAGTGGGGTGGGAGGAGGTATTGTTTCATATTCTCTGTGTATATATAAAGTCTGCTACAGTTTCCACGGTATACATCTGATGAAGTGAGCTGTAGCTCACGCTCAAATAAATTGGTTAGTCTCTAAGGTGCCACAAGTACTCCTTTTCTTTTTGCGAATACAGACTAACACGGCTGTTACTCTGAAACCTATACTAAGTTTTGTAATTATATAAATATCCATTTTCCCTACAGTTCATCAAGCTAGTCACTGTATCTTGGCTCATTTCTTGCATATCTTCCTAGGGTTTGTTCTGGAAGTGGCAGTAGGACTTACTTGAATAAATTCACTGTTCCATTTCTTCTGGGTTGAGGTATGGTGTGCAGTCAGCTATCTTCTTAAGATGGACCATGCTAACTCTTTCTGAACACATTGGACATATATTTTCACTCTGCAACATACTATTTTAAAAGAAATATTTCAGGTCAAATTACATTCCTGACACACATGGTGTTGGGCTTGATGCTGGAATTAGAGGGGAAAATTAGGTGATCAAACTAGATAATCATAATGATTCTTTCTGGCCTTAAAACCTATCAATTTTAGAAGGTGGGAAGGGGAAAATGACTCCGTTGTAAGATGTCAACTACCGTAGAACCTCAGTTACAAACATGTCTGAAACGGAGGTTGTTTGTAACTCTGAACAAAATGTTATGGTTGTTCTTTCAAAAGTTTACAATTGAACACTGTCTTAATACAGCTTTGAAATTTTACTATACAGAAGAAAAATGCTGCTTTTCCCTTTGTATTTTTTGGTCTGCTGCTGCTAGCTTGTGTGCTTCGAAATCAGATGTGGGTTGACTGGTCAGTTTGTAACTCTGGTGTTTGTAATTCAGTTTCTGTTGTAACTACTTACAATTCGGAAAGAAGGGATTTCTTGGAGGCTGCTCTAGTAAAGCACATAAAGCTCTTGGAAGGCTGTCTAGCCCACTACTGTATTGTGGACATGGGCTATGTTAGTAATTCTATTTAAAGCTCCAGTCTCATTTGAGAAATCAAATATGCAGTATTATGGCTACTCAGGTTTGAAAGTAAAATATGCAAATCTAAAAAGAGTTGATTAATAGAATAAAGAGAAAGGGAAGGCTTTCTACTGACAAAGTAGTTTTGTTCAAATGTCAATAATAAGCACTAACTGAGCTGAGGAACTGCTCTTACTTCCCTGTGACTGCCAATCAAGAGTTATTCCCTTGTTTAAGGCAGAATAGCTGTGGTCAAAGCTCTGCCAAGGTATATTCTTATTCTGGAACCAGGCATTATGGGGAGAGTGTGTTGGGGGGACGGGGGAACAGCTGCTTTGGTCCTCTGAATCTCAAGGGGACCACATCGATAGTTGGGGCTCCTCCGGCCAGTATTGGTGTGTTTCTGCACAGCCTCTTGGGGGATGGGAAGGAAAAGTGTTGGGAAGTTGCAGAAGCCTATTTCCACCCTTGCTAGTTTCTTTCAAGGGTTACAACACTGCATCAGCGGCTGTTTGTAGCATGCATTCGATACGCCCACCTGGGTTCATGCTAAGGTAGTGCTATGCTGAAAGTGTGGGATAAGGATAAATGATGGGCCATCACAATGAGAGGCTTAATGCTTCTCCTTCCTGAGGAAAAGGGTCTTTGCTATTTTAAAAAAAAAAAACCTTATTCAGCAGGAAAGATTCCAACTTACTTTTTAAACTCTGAGTGCAGGGCAGGGAAGTCACAATTTGGACAGGCTGTCCAGTCATCATTTACCATATGCCGACCCTGCAGGTGAAAGTTTTTAATGATTGTAAGTGTTTGCGTAATAATCAGCGTACTGAGTCTTCAGCTCTGCTCCTTTCTGCAGCAAAAGATCTTAACTCTAAAAAGTTTCATGAGGAATAGTGACACTAACTTGCAATAGTATCAAATACCCTACAGTGTGGCTAGATTTAATGCTACTGTAATTTATTTCTAAGTGATCATTACATAAGATTATAATAATTTGGATACTTCATTTTTGCATCTGTTGCTGTATGAATAGTGCTGTGTATTTTAAGAAGTTATGAAATTCTGCATCTTCTTATTCAGAACATTTTTCTGCTATTTGTAATTCTCCCTTCTTCCCCTCTTTTTGGTAGAAAAGAGCAAGGGACAATTACCATGACCATTATAAACTCTTAAAATGGTAACTCAGTAAACAGCAGTCCCAGATATTTAGCAAAAATTTAGGTTTTTTTTTTTATATTGGAGTTTGTTCTAGGTACAAGATTTCACTTGCTAATCAGGCATACTGAAGGCATCAGAGCTGTGAGGCCATCTGTTTGCATACCACCTTATCCAACCTGAGATCACAAAGTTGCAGGCAAAGCAGCAGTTTCTGTGATAGTCTGCTTAGAGTGAGATGGCTTCCTTCTTGTGTACACTCTTAATTTAAAGAAGTTCCATAAATATGTAGATGTTACATCTCTGGAACTCTGACATTGTGCACAATTGAAAACACACACCTTTCTTTCCCTTACCATACACCTTATAATTTGACTGTAAAAATTAATTGGTTTCATTACATTTTAGCAATAGTCAGTTATTTTGTGTTCTCATTTAAACAATGGGGATAGAGACTGGACAAACATGTCTGAATCAGTTACAAATTTAGACTAATGTTACTCATAAAAACATTTCAAGAAGGGGGAAGAGGCAGACCTGGTACACAGTGCTAAATACTAAAGGAAGCATTCTCAAACTGTGCATGTGTGCTGGGAGGAGGGGAATTTGTCATTCAATTAAAAATACTCACAGTTGCAATGCAATATGGAAGATTGTTTTTACATCCAGGACAGAGGAGTTCACACTCTGGGAGCAGGAATTCACAGTATGGGCATGGTGTAGTTGGCTCTTCTGCCTCAGATGTGTCTGGTCGTCTAGAAATAAGATATGGATATGAATCAAGTACAAGAACTCCTTCACAAAAGACCACACCTTATTTCTGTAAAGAGCAAAACATTAATTTTTTTGAGTAACGTACAGTTTCCAGTTAACAATATTTTCTGTCACCTTCCCTCTTCACCAGTTTTCCCTTAGATACTGCACATATTTTCCTTACACTGCCTACCATTGTAAGTGGGCCCTTAATTTGAAACATTTATTTGCCATTGAGCAATGTTGATCACTGTTTTGAATTCTTAATTTCTCAAATATCCCAGTAACAAATGGTGTATATATAGTATGTAATAGCTAATCTTACTCTGTTAGGCACCACTCACCATGATATTTAGGTGTTAAATATTAGAATTTAAGCTTCAGAATTGTAATAGTTGGACTATAGTTTCTGCTCCATGGAGTTGCAGTCCACAGGCTCTTTTTCAGCAAGTATGTATGGTGGTGAGGTATCCTGATCCAGATTCTACTATAAAATGTTTACATTAGAACTAATATGAACGCAGTGAGAAGGGACACTTAAAATTAGTTTTCCTAAGTGATTTCTAGATATACTCTGTTATGGAACTTTATAGATAAAAGGCTTTGATCCTCTTTCATAGCACTTTCCAATGTCTCAGCATAATGAGCTTTGAGAATAATTAGAGATTTTCATTAAAATACTTTATAAAATTTGGCAAGGATCAGATTTTGTACCCTGATTATTTTATCCTGCCAGACAGGAGCTATCAGGTGTATTGATCAGAGCAGTCAAAACTCCTCCCACAAGTCTCCGATAGGGTTTTATGAGTATAGCAGAGCCGTTTGGCATGCTGGCTGGGAGATTTTTACAGTGGCACCTAAAAAGCAGGCAAGGAGCTTTAGATATGTAGTATAAACACACCATCGCTATTATCTATACAGTATTATTATACTAGGAAAAAAGGTCTTTGCCTCTAAGAATTTGTGGTCTAAACAGATTACAAAGGGGGAGGGAGAAGGAATTGGAGAGTTTGCCTTTTTAACTTGGTATTTATCCTTGGCCTTGTCTCCCTTTTAAATGATTGTCTTTGTGCCGTTCTACAAAGTGCACAATAGTGATGCTGAACAACTGCCCATTGAAAATACAAATATAGGAGAACTACTATGACTTCATAGGTTCAATTCACTATAGGCTTCCACACCTGTGCAAAATGGGTGTAAAGGATTGCAGCTGGTTAGGGAGCATTTTACACCCACTTTGCACAGAGGTAAATGACTATAACACATGCAAGACAATGAAAAATAAGGGCCTCAGTCTTTAGAGGAGTTGGAAATTAACCTCCCAACCTAAGGTAAGGATTAAGGAAAAATATGTAAACATTGTAGATTTTATGGAGGAAAAATAATGCTACAGATAAAGTTGTTCTGTTGTCTGCACTTAAATCATATTAGCCTGGCTCACCTGACCATTGCTTCAATCTTCTTTTTGTATTTAAGATCTATTTTATTGCGGTACTCAGGTCTCATCAACATAGCAGCAAAACTGAAAGCTGAGTTTTTTAATCCTGCTCTATGACACTCAATCACTGTTGACGTCAGGATTGGGACAATATCTGCAATGAAACAATGGCAAACATTCATCTACCACTAGCAATGCTAAAAACCTTAGCAAAAGAGCAAACAGGCAAAAGGTTGAGAGGCTTTTGAAGCAATTCTTTATTCAGGGCACAGAGCTACACAGATTTTTGGTACTTGTATTTCCACATAGATATGCAGGGTTTGAAGGGATCTCAAAAGGTCACCTAGTCCATCCCCTTGTGCTGAGCCAGGATTAAGTACAGCTACATCACGTTGTTTAACTTGTTCTTAAACTTCCAGAGACAAGGATTCCACAACCTCCTTAGGGAACCTGTTCCAGTGCTTAATTATCCTTATAATTATAAAGGATTTCTTAATATCTAACTTAAATCTCCTTTGCTGTCAAGTAAGCCGATTGCTTCTTGTCCTACTGTGGGTGGACATATGACCAGTTGTTTTCCCACACTTTTTATAAACAACCTTTTACCTATTTGAAGACTTACATTCTCCCCTCAATCTTGTCTTCTCTAGAATAAACATGCCCAGTTCTTTCAACCTTTCCTCACAGGCCATGTTTTCTAAACCTCTTGTTTTTGTTGTGCTCCTCAGGACTCTCTCCAATCAGTTCCCATCTCTAAAAACATGGTGCCCAAAACTGGACACAGTAATACATCTGAGGTCTCACTATTGCTGAATGGAGCAGAAAAATTATCTCATGTGTCTTACATAGGACATTCCTGTTAATGTATCCCAGTCATTGGGTTTCCTCTCACTATGGTGCATTTCTGAGACTGAACATATGACCATGGGAATCGGTAGATTACCCCCACCTTTCCCAAATATGGTCATGGTTCACCTCTTGCCTTAGCTCTATTCATAGCAAAACATTCACAGTGTCTCTGGACTGATAACTTAGGTAGAGACATCACTGGCTGGGAACTTGGGAGCGAATAGTTGAGTATAATTTCTGTCACAATGTGTTCAAGAGTGCAGGAGTTAGTGAGCTGGCCTGTGCTGGTCATGCAGAGCAGCCTATGTGTAAGCAGATGAAAAGTGAACGTGTGGTGTAGACATATGTACTGTCACTACTGGTGTCAGATGTGAGAGGATTCTGCATGTAGCCGTTTCTCAAAGAAATTTTACCTTTGGTAAGTAGGTAACAGTATAAGGCATACCGCAGTAATGTCTAATTACCAAAGCAAAAAATGAAATTTTAGAGGTAACCACTATATAACAGCGAGCCAAGCATTAGGATCTTGAACTTGCACTGTACTTTGTCCCAAGCAAGGATTGCCCATAATGGTAAGACTCCCTGGCCTTGCAGTACTCTCTCGTACTGAAGATGCAGTACATCTGAAAGAAGACAGATGAGTTTTGTAGCAAGGTCCCAGAGTTGACCCACCAATTACATATGATCTTGAGACGGTGGTTCATGCAACCATTTAGCAGTTATTATGGTTGAGGACACACACTTAGCTAGCAGTGTTGCCCTCATCACTGTAAGGCCTTCATACCTACATGCCATGTAGCAAAGCAAGTTTTCCATGGCAGGACAGGTTTAACTTTTACTACATACCTACACTTGTTCAAAGATATGGACAACAGTAGCACAAGAGGAAAGTATCTGTCTGATGTACTGGATAGTTAATTATCTTACGCTTTTTTTGTGTGTGGACAGCACTTACGTGAGGGGAACTTGCTGATGTTGTTGGCTACACGAATAAGCATGCGTGCACCCTTCATGTGATCTCCACGTTTAACATGAGTCTGAAATAAAACAAGTGGGTATATTTACACTACAGATTACAGCTACAGCATTTGGAGGATCTGAAACTAGTAAAAGCTTTGGCTACGCTATACTTAGAGCCCTGCGCAGATACAAAAATGTGCATCTGCCAGGATTAGCCCGGGATCTGCTAGCCACTTTTTACCTGTATCTGCAGCAACAAGCTGTCTCAAAAGGGCTAGCAGGGGGAGGGGTGTGTGTCTTGCAGGGAAGAGGCAGTGCGAGGGTGCGGACTGGGGGTAAGGGACAGCACGGAGGGGTGTCGCATCGCATGCTGCTCCCAGGGACTCATGAGTGATGGCACAGTGCGAGTGCAGCAGTGCATGTTGCATCACAGTGGAGTGGGGAGCCGGGGTCCTGCCTGCTCCAATCCCCATGGCAGGGGCATGGTGGGGACGCTGGTGCTGCCTGAGGGGCCCAAGCTTCTGGGCAGGAATGGGTGTGGTGAGTGGGTGCCACCTAGCCCCAGCCACTGACTGCTGGCCCCAAGCGTGCTGCGCCCCCTGGGCTACATGAGTCGGACGCGGTGGGCCGGGCGCCTCAGGTGAGTAGAGTCCTGTGTGGTTCTATCTGCATCCGATCCATTAGCCACAAAAATGGTCCATGGATATCCGCAGATTTGCAGGGCTCTCTCTATACTATACTTGGTATTGCAGCACAGCTTACTGCTAATCTTTACTAGCGTAGCTTCTCAAACTTTAGTAACTTTTTCTCCTTTGGGCTTTACCTCTCTAAGCTTTCATTAATTTTAGGTTTTATTAACAACAGTTTATAGCCTGTAGCTGTCCATAAGACTTTTCAATGGACAAATCTCCAAGTTATCAGCAAACCACTTGTGTATTTAAAGGTTGTCTGATCAGATTATTAAGGCATCAAACCATTCTAAAAGATGCTGGGCCAAACTTTCTGCTGGTGGTGCACTGATGCAATTCTACTAAAATCAAAGATAAACATAGTCTCCTCTTATATACAGTCTACAAACTCAAGTTCTCTGCCCATATATTGTAGTGGGATACATCTGATGCTTTGTAACGTGACTGCCTGAAAACCTCCACTTTGATACTGCCAAAATAGATGCAGAACCAGTAAGGGGAGGCCCACAAACATTTATGGATGGAGACCTCTACGAGGCTCTGACACCTATATGTCTGCCTCACCACTTATTTTCTTTGGGCCATTGGAGGGTGAGATTGTGTGTTTTGGGGGATGCCGTTAAGCCCTCTATCCTCTGAAAGACACGGTGGGTGAGGTATATATGGACCCATTTCTATTGATGAAAGAGACAAGCTTTTGAGCTACACAGCTCTTCAGGTCTGGTCTTTATCCTCTGGCATTTTTATAGGGCCTCTCTCTTCCCCCTCTGCCCCAACCTGAGGTCTTTCCCAGAGGATGACTCCTTTGGTGCCTCCATTTTCTTATGACCTGTCCTTAAGCCAGCTGAAAGTGCTCCTACTGACTGCTTTTGAGCCTGCCATCTCCTTGCCTGGGTGAGGAAATGGAAAGCCACAGGCAGAGCAATGAAATCTAAGGAAAGAGAGAGGCAGGCTTTAGCAGCCCCACTTATCTCTAGTAATTGTAAAACTACAACTAGATTTTTATGTGATCCCAGTTGCATAGGATAAACCCAAGGACCCGAGACACGTAACAGAAACCCAGGGCTATCCTGAGTAAATAGAACTTTTGGGACTATGCTATTCAATGGTATAAAATGACTGATAGGCAGCGAGCTCACTGAATGGAAATGGAATATTCTTGTAACTAGTGCATTTACCAACTTCCATCTGTGTGTACTAACAACAAACATGCCAGCATAATTAATCTACATATAGCAGCCATCTATGCAATTTATAAGTATTGCATAGAATTTGCTTCATTAAAACACTAATTCTGAATCTGCATTACCTTTACTAAAATATAGCTGTGTAGAATCATAAGATTTGTAGCCATCTCAGAAGGAATTTTAATTTTCTGTGTTTTGAGTTCTGAATACATACTGAAAAGAACATCATGTGCATTTCGGTAGTTTCCTTTAAAAGAAAAAAGTTAATGTAATTTTTCACAACAATGCTCTTACACAGGGGATATAATTAAACTCAATTGTAAGCTTTTCGCTGTAATCTAAGAGCAGAAAATTTGGAAGTCAATTTGTCTAGAAAAATCACAAGCACATAGATGCCTGCTACAATATCCTAGACAATACTAGTGTGGCGTGGGAAGAAATGTAAAAAGTAGGACATATGTGGAACAGCTCAAAGCACATGTAGATCATGATTTGATATGCTGCTGTCCCCTATTTTAAAAATGGAAGTTGGAACATCCATTACTTTTCCAATAAAGTACAAAAGAGTAGTTTTAGGGCATCCTAGGATGGATTTCCTTTGTTTCTGGACAATGATTATTTCACATCTTATTTCTATAATTAGTTAAATGTTGAATACAGTGTGTTATTTGAAGTTTTAATTTAATATCCTTCAAGTGTAGGTCTGTATAGTACTCTGCTAAAGTAAACAGGTGGAAAAAGATGTCACTTCAGATCAATTAAATCTTAAAAGTAGAGGCACCACATTTGATTATTTCAGGATAACTGCGATATGTTCAGGTTTAAGGAATTTAGGCAATGAATAATAAAACCTTGAGCCTTTATGTTCCATGCTTACACCATGAGCACAAAACTGTTTTTCACTGCTGTAGCATAGCAGACCTTTGACACTCAGTGCCAAAGAGTTTGAGATTTTCCAGCCCATTGCAGAGCAGCAGACAGATAGCTGTTAACTTGCCCAAAACGTGATTGTCCTCCTTGTCCCTGAGGCTGCCGTTTTTCTTTTAAAAACATTTCCCTTGACTTATTTTAAATTAAAAGAAAATAGAAAGTTATTCTAGGACCGTTGCCTGGACTAGAGCAGGGAGCAGCCAATGGAGGAGATACACTATTTTGCTTCCCCAACCCCTTCCTTATTCATTTTATTTTTTTCTCCCCTCTATCTAAAATCTAACCAACCATTTAGAAAAAACAAGTTGCACAAAAAAAAGAACCTTTGGAAGTCTGTTTTTTTAAAAACAATCATTACAGATGAAACTCCTACTAAAATCAGTGTTTGATGTAGCTAAGGACTGGAGGATCAGTCCCTAAATTAGAAGCCATGGCTACCAGCAACTGCAATTAAGGAATAGTCTCCATTATGGGGAAAAGTGAAGCTCTGGGTAGTCTCTACTAATAAATCTACTGGGAATGGAATAAAAGAAACTAAGAGACTCTCTCCATGAGTTTCCAGTCTCACTTTCCAAAGGGCTCCACTTACCACTGTCACTATGGGTACATCTATACTGCAGTTAAAAACCCACAGCTGGCCCATGCCAGCTGACTCAGGCTTGTGCTAAGGGGCTGTTTAATTGTGGTGTAAACATTTTGGCTCAGGTTACAGCCCAGGCACTACGATCTTGTAAAGTGCGAGGGTCTGCCTGCAGCCCAAGCCAGAATGTCTACACTGCATTTAAACAGCCCCTTAGCCCAAGTCAGGTGGCACGGGCCAGCCACAGGCTTTTAATTGCAGTGTATACACACCCTATAAGAGTGCTTTAAACTCATAATGCCAACTTCACACTTCCAAATAAAGACTGGATATAAGAGAAAATCGTTAGTGCACACAAGAAGAAGGTCTTTCTAAAATTCATATATGCCCTTCTTTAAGCACACTCCTACAAGCAGTAGTATCTAAAATATTGCTGGGTTGGAAAATGAAATCCTGTTGTCACATCAGTAAAAACAGAATGAAGTAAGAGTATTGAGTGACCTACCTGCAGACTGCTCCTCCCTGGCAATTATTATGGCAGTTCGGGCAGCTTCTCTGTATTGCTTTAGTGCCATGTACAAGCGGAACAGATACTTGGCATCCTTAATCAGAACAACACAAAAGTAATTTTGCTGATGGAATATATACTGCTGTATCACCTTCTAGATCTCGACCTCTCTCCATCTCAAGCAAATGTCAAGAGGCAGTTCAGATTTGTCTGTGAACTCTGTGGCTTGACCATACCCTGTCTGCCTGTGCATCGTGTTCTTTGCCTGTGGCAGTGCAAACAAAACTGTGATTCAGTACTCCTACTTCTTTCATTGCTAAACTAGCTAGCTTTTAAAATATTTTTGGGTGGAAGTGGTGTGCAGAAATCTCTCTCCCTTTTTCTCCATCAAGGAGAAATTTTTACTGGACCTCCACCCCTTGATTAAGATTGTTTCTAAACTTCTTCTCAATAAGTCCCAAACTGCTCTTGGATTGAGGAAAAGGTTAGTTTCAGGAAGGAAACTAATCAGGGAAATTTTTCCATTCTTAATAAACGGTACATGAAAATACAGTTGAAAGAGACCCCTCTTTCAGCTGGAATGTAACATTAATGTAAATCTGCTGATATATGAAAACTTCTAAAATACATAATCTGCTTAAAAAAAGTTGAAGAGAAAGTACACTGATCATGAGGTGACTAATATTGAAGAAAGTGGACACTGATTCAGCTACATTGTTCCAGTAATGTCAGATCTAGTCAATCATTGAAGTTTCTGAAATTTACCTATGGGTTTTATTTCTGCTTTTTGGTATTCTACAGTAAATTTGTAGTGGAGGAGCAATTATGGGGGAAAAAAAAAAGGTATCATTTGTATCTTACAATAACCCTTTAAATAATTATAATTGAGTTGTAATTAAAACTATTATAGAAAAAGTACTGATGCTAAAATGTTGACCTTGAAATTCTGTTCTGTATGGCCCATTGCAATAGCCCTTAATTCAGTAGAAGATAAAGAACAATGGATTAAAATTACTCCTTTTTTTAAAATAGTACATTTATTAGGGAGACAAACAGCTTACCACTGAATTTACTAATATTTTATCAAAGTAGTTTAAGTATGTTTGTACATATGTGCAAGTATGCACTTTCAAGATTTAATTTTTTTATATGCACCTGAATTTGTTTTTTTCCCCTAATTAAAATATACTATGGTTAAAATTTTCATCCTAGCCTTAGCTGCACCAGCAAAACAACAACAAGGAAGTCTAAGTTGATCAGAATCAGGAAGCCTGCAGGAGAGTGCGTGAGTCCACTGGATTTATCATGAAATAAAAGGAGCAATTTAAGGAGGATAAGGGCAGTGTAGAGAAGTTTAGATGATTTTTTTAAATCAGTCTTCACCACAGAGGATGTTGGAGAGACCTTCTCTTTTCAGGTAATAAATATGATGTACTATCAGATACTGAGGTATCAAAAAGGTTGTGCTGGAATAAGATGAGAATAAATTAATATCAGATTCTGCCACCCTTACACAAAATAATACCGTACTCTGCCAGAAACCCCTTTGAAATCAGCAGGTACTTCTCATGGACTAAGATACTATTTTGCTTGAGTAAGGGTGATAAAACCCAGCCATTAAAGAGTAATAAGTCACCAGAGCCAGACGGTATACATCCAAGGGTATGTCTACATTACAATTAAACACCTGTGGCTGGCCTGGGTTTTAACTGCAGTGTAGACAGACCCCAAGAGATGAGAAGGAATTTAAGAAATAAGAGGCTGAGCTGCTATGAAAAATATGTAATCATTAAAGTCAGCTACTATACCAGAGGACTAGAGGGTAGCAAAGGTATCAATCGATCTTTAAAATAAGTGGTAAGGGGTAATCTTAGACATTACAGCCCAGCAAGTCTTACTTCAGTACCAGGAAAATTGGGTGAATAATTAAAAAAACCAAAATTCTAGAACACTTAGATGAATGTGATATGATAGCAGCAAATTAGCACAGTTTCGGTAAAGGCAAATCATGCTCTAATAAACTACTAAAATTCTCTAAGTAGCAGCAACAAATAAAGGATAAGAGAGAACTAGCTGGCAATTTACATGGACTTTCAAAATGCCTTTGAAAAAAAGCCCTCACAAGAGTTTATTAAGGAAACTAAGTAGGGAGGGAATGAGAAGCTAAGTATTTTCATGAATTAGAAACAAAGGACATAAAACAAAGCAGAAGTAAATGATCAATTTTTGTAATGGGAAAAGACTAATCGCAAAGTGTCACAAGGTCTTTGCGAAGGCCAGTGTTATGGATATATTTTTTACTGCACTGGAAAGGGTAGTGAACAAATGGGTAGAATTTGCAGATGACACAACAATATTTAGGTTAGTCAAGAAGGAAGAAAACTGACAAAGGACAAAACTAGACAAGTTGGCACAATGACAGCAGATGAAATCAATGCTGACATGCAAGGTATTGCAAATAGGAAAGAATAGTCTGAATTACTTATACACATTGCTGGGTTCTAAATTAACTAAAATCCACTCATCTAAAAAGACCTGGGTAGCATTATAGACAGTTCAACAGAAACCTCTGCCCAATTTGCAGTAGTAATAAAAACAAAAAGCATTAGGATATATATAGAATGGGATAGAAAATATGATAATGGTATTATGTAAATCAATGGTGTACCCACCCCCAGAATACTGTGTTCAGCATATCTCAAAAAATACATTGTGGAAATAGAGGGAGTTTAGAGAAAGGTGAGAAAATTGTTAAAAGCATGGAGAAACTTCCATATAAGAAAGAGACTGAAAAGATTATGACTCTTCAACTGAGGCAGGAGACAAATAAGAGGGACATGACAGAGGTTAACAAAATAGAGACTTGCATACCCTCTCTCACAACAACAACAAAAATCAATGGAGATTGAAAAGAGACATGAAAACTGACAATGGGAAATATAATTTTACATAACACATATTTAACCTGAGGAACTCACTTCCACAAAGGCTAATAACTTAATGAGATTTTAAAAAATTAGATATTTATTTATATAGATAATGAAACTATCTATAGTTGCACGAGATATGATAATATATTGTATTAGATGGGACAATGCAATCATTAATTGACTAGTGTTAGGAATAAAATTCTCCTATCATCAGGTTATTACTTAATTGTCCATGACATGGTTTTTTGTACCTTCCTCCAAAACATCATCGGACCACTGCCCTGACCTGGTATAGTGTTTCCTATATCCCTCACTGTGGATGCAATTAAGGTAACATATCTAAATGACTCCAATTGTGTCTACAAATAATTGAAGATGTAAAAATAAATTGAGTCCAGTTTATTTTAAATATGGTCTTAAATGTTTTCATTTTTATATCGTATGCTTTTTAAAAATTAGAGAAAACAGTTTTAAATAGAAAATATCCTTCTTAGAACTTTTGGAAAACATATTATTAATATTCAATAGACCATTACTTCCTTTTTATTGGAATTTGGCAACTTTACAGAATTTTGTTTTCAGGGTTGCTTGTTTTCAATTTTTAAAACATTTTTGTATTTAAAAAATAAACACAGAACAGCAGAATCTTGTTAATTAACACTAGGAGATATGCATTATAGTAAGCAAACAACCAGGATATAAATCAAAGATATTGGATCACAATCCTTGTGTCTTAATTCTGACAAGCGTAGTTTAGTATTATATGTAATACCTTTATTAATATATTACATTAGAATACAAAGGGTATAAAAACATTTTGTTAAACATAGTAAAGACTTAGTAATATAACACCTCACTACAGCCTTGTGCTATTAACTCTTTATAGAGAAGTGGAGTGAGACAACCAGGCTGTTGTGAGAATTATCCAGTTTGGGAATAAGTGAAGAGAGGATTAACAAATTTCTGCCATATGGCTACTTCAATTTAGATTTTATCTTCAGTGAAATAAAGATTCTACCATCTAAAAGATGTTATTCTATAAAAATGTGATTCAGATTGCCTGAGAATTTCAGTGAGGCATTTGCCTCTACACCATAATGAAGTTAAAAATTATTTGTTTTTTCTTTAATAAGTTACTATGATTTGATAAAGTAAAATGATGTTACTCACTGAGAGAGACTATGGCAGATGGGGTAAAGCATTCAGAAGAACAAGAAAGAGCTTTTAAATGAGGAAAAGAATGCCCTTCATACAAGTTGCAAAACAATGTTAAACATTACAAGTGTATTCACACAGTGCTATGTTTTATAAAAAAATTAAACCCTTAGAACTGGTTCTCAAACTTTTTCATATTGTGGGTCACTTCCAATTCCCCATCCCACGCATTCCCTGAGGCAACCAGGTTGCTTGGTTGTGGTTTACAGAAAAAATAGTATAAAGACAGGATGTGACAGTCAGTCCACGTCCCATTCACAGTTTATATCTGTGTACCAGATCTCCCATCACAGCCCTTACAGTTCTAATCTCTCCAGGTCACTTTGCAATTGGATTCTGTCCTCTTGAGTGTATGTTTCCTCTACAATTTTGGTGTCATCCAAATGTCTGATGAAAGGTAACATTACATCAAAACAGCACCCAACAAAAGACAGATAAAGCAGCTGCTCAAAGTGTAGAGATGTTTTTTTTAAATTAAAAAAAAAAAAATGTCATAAAGTGCCCAAAGGACCAAATCCTGGCCCTAGAATACAGCACAGCAAAGAAGAGGCCAGAGCTCTACAACCTCACTATAGAGTTGCAAACCACAACTAGAATTCAGTGGCAACTACATGTCATCTCTACAGCTGTCAAACCCAGCTCCATGCCTACACAGTATAATTTGTGATTCTGAATTTACAGGACTGTGGCGATTACACCATGGAAGCCCTGCAGAGTCTTTCTGATACAATGTATGTTTGGGAGCAAGTGCCTTCTGTACTCAGCCACAGAGGATCTTAGAGAACCTGAATTACCCAAAGATTACCACCATCTGATGGCTGTTAGCAATGCTAGTTTATTTTAAAACCTACATGAAAAATAATACGGGCAAAATTCTTTTCTCAGATCCATACTGCAGATCTACACATGTATGGAAATCAAGGTACTGAAGTAGAGATTGGTTGTGTGGATATGAGAAGAGAATTTCACCTCTGAAGACATTGTAATTTCTCGTCTCTCATCCCTTTACCCTGAAATATATTTGGTATTCTCTGTCTTCCTTTTAACATCAGCCCTATGGCATTAACAAGCAGGATTAACAACATTGGTTAACATAACTAACCAAGCACACAAACATGACAACTAATACAAAAAAAATAGCACATATAAGGGGAAGACGGACTAGTACAGCCTACTACTGTAGTCTACCAGTTCCCAGTGCCTGCATCTCTACCTGTGGTAGGAGAAGTGACCTATAGACTTCAAAAGAAGCTCTATTTAGTCCTCTTTGTACAAAGGATGCGGGGTATGAAGCGGGGTATGAAACAGGGTCTCCCAGAAGGGAGATAGAAGCAAAAATTCATAAAGCTCCTGCAGGAATGTAATGGTGGTGTTGGTGGCCTGTGATATACAAGAGGTCAGACCAGAAGGTCTGGTGATCCCTACTGACCTTAAACTCTATGACCTCATAAAGACTTCCCATAAGTCACAATAAAAAATAAACATCTACAATATTTTATATTCTTAGTGTTAAATAACTGAGTATTCTATATATATAAAGTATGCCATTAAAAACTCAAGATATGGGTTTGCTAATCTTTAGTTTTCTTTTTACCGTAAACACTTTATGTAGTTGCAAAAAGAAAAGGAGTACTTGTGGCACCTTAGAGACTAACCAATTTATTTGAGCATGAGCTTTCGTGAGCTACAGCTCACTTCATCAGATGCATACCGTGGAAACTGCAGCAGACTTTATATACACACAGAGAATATGAAACAATACCTCCTCCCACCCCACTGTCCTGCTGGTAATAGCTTATCTAAAGTGATCAACAGGTGGGCCATTTCCAGCACAAATCCAGGTTTTCTCACCCTCCACCCCCCCACACAAATTCACTCTCCTGCTGGTGCTAGCCCATCCAAAGTGACAACTCTTTACATAATCAAGTCGGGCTATTTCCTGCATAAATCCAGGTTTTCTCACATCCCCCCCACCCCCATACACACACAAACTCACTCTCCTGCTGGTAATAGCTCATCTAAACTGACCACTCTCCAAGTTTAAATCCAAGTTAAACCAGAACATCGGGGGGGGGGGGGGGTAGGAAAAAACAAGAGGAAACAGGCTACCTTGCATAATGACTTAGCCACTCCCAGTCTCTATTTAAGCCTAAATTAATAGTATCCAATTTGCAAATGAATTCCAATTCAGCAGTTTCTCGCTGGAGTCTGGATTTGAAGTTTTTTTGTTTTAAGATAGCGACCTTCATGTCTGTGATTGCGTGACCAGAGAGATTGAAGTGTTCTCCAACTGGTTTATGAATGTTATAATTCTTGACATCTGATTTGTGTCCATTTATTCTTTTACGTAGAGACTGTCCAGTTTGACCAATGTACATGGCAGAGGGGCATTGCTGGCACATGATGGCATATATCACATTGGTGGATGTGCAGGTGAACGAGCCTCTGATAGTGTGGCTGATGTTATTAGGCCCTGTGATGGTGTCCCCTGAATAGATATGTGGGCACAACTGGCAACGGGCTTTGTTGCAAGGATAAGTTCCTGGGTTAGTGGTTCTGTTGTGTGGTATGTGGTTGTTGGTGAGTATTTGCTTCAGGTTGCGGGGCTGTCTGTAGGCAAGGACTGGCCTGTCTCCCAAGACTTGTGAGAGTGTTGGGTCATCCTTTAGGATAGGTTGTAGATCCTTAATAATGCGTTGGAGGGGTTTTAGTTGGGGGCTGAAGGTGACCGCTAGTGGCGTTCTGTTATTTTCTTTGTTAGGCCTGTCCTGTAGTAGAGTGAATTTGTGTGGGGGGGTGGAGGGTGAGAAAACCTGGATTTGTGCTGGAAATGGCCCACCTGTTGATCACTTTAGATAAGCTATTACCAGCAGGACAGTGGGGTGGGAGGAGGTATTGTTTCATATTCTCTGTGTGTATATAAAGTCTGCTGCAGTTTCCACGGTATACATCTGATGAAGTGAGCTGTAGCTCACGAAAGCTCATGCTCAAATAAATTGGTTAGTCTCTAAGGTGCCACAAGTACTCCTTTTCTTTTTGCAAATACAGACTAACACGGCTGTTCCTCTGAAACCTGACTTTATGTAGTTGTGTACAGATCACATATGGAATTGTATATCCCAGCACAGTGCAATTAATTTCTTATCTAAGATCAAGTATAGTTAGGGAAACCATACCCCGTATTTGCAGTTGGAATTGACTGTAATAAATCATTTTCAACTTTGAAAATGGTATGATATTAGATAATGAAGTACAAAAATAAAGGGCCAGATTTTCAAAAAAAGCTCAGCTTCCATTTAGGTATCTAAATGAAGTAGCCAGATTTCCAAATAACTACAGAACCCATTGTTCCACATATTAATGGAAGATGCTTCACAGTGAGCCTTTTGAAAATCTGATCATTTAATTTAGGAACTTAAATGGGAGCTGAGCACTTTACTTTTTTTGGATATATAAAAATAGTTCTGGACAATGTACATCTACTAGGTTTCTGAAGGGCAAAAAAATAAAAGAAATCATCCTATAGAACAGAAACTGGAGAAAAAAGAGTGATAGGAATATAGTACCTTGGGCATACCATCACTCTCCCCCATAAGGTAGTCTATCAGCTGATTAGTTAGTGCTTCATCTTTTGCCTGCCCCACCTATTAAATAAAGACAGGAAAAATGTCAACATGCGCCTGAAATACGGGGAAAAAGAATTAGATTTCCCTATAGAAAACCTTTGAACTTAGAGATATTTAAAACATGTATTTACCGGTGTTATATACTCAAAATGCAGTAAAGTAGGTATCTATTTGGTTGATCAGCTTCTCTTTGACATGGTGAATCCATGCTGAAAATCTAACACACTATGGCAAAGATGTCATAAACTACTACCCATTTAACAAGTTTTTAAATAGCATCCATTAAATATTAACAAATATTAACTTTGGTCTGTCCCAGGGTGGCCATTCTTATGTTCTAGATTTGGAATTACAGATAGATATGTTATTTATATTCCCTTCTTTCAGGACCAGTGCTAAGAAAATTATTTGGGATGGCATCAGGAACTTTTTACCTTAGCCCTTGCTTTTACTCTTTCAGCTTCCTCCTTACATCTATAAGCTATTCAAACTCTGCTAAACACTAGGATGACATCATTACAGTAGAGACACAGATTACTTGAAAAGCAGGCTGAATACTCAATTTCTTAGATTTATCCATGTTTCTTACTGTTTCAATAGCCATTTCTATAGCCATGTTATCTTCTGTGCTTGGACTTTTCAGAAAGTGTTTTAGTGCCTGAAACAAAAATAGAAACACAGGGACATAACAGGTAAATGACATGGTATTTTCTTTAAAATTTTTTTCCCCTATTTTTGAAAAATTAGATTTTAATTCATAGAATCATAGAATATAAGGGTTGGAAGGGACCCCAGAAGGTCATCTAGTCCAACCCCCTGCTCGAAGCAGGACCAATTCCCAGTTAAATCATCCCAGCCAGGGCTTTGTCAAGCCTGACCTTAAAAACCTCTAAGGAAGGAGATTCTACCACCTAATTCATCTAGTTCTGCAGCATCTGGGAAGGAAGGAGAAACATCCTTTGATTACATTAAACTTATGTGATCCCTGAGCACACGTTGAGAGCATTTATGTTGTTTCATGTGAATCTGAAGTTAACGGAGTCAAAAAGTAGTGAAAATGACCAATAAGGATGATCACACCGGGACCATGGGAGTACACAGGCAACAGCTGCTGTCCCAAAAACTGCTGTAGGAAAAATTATACTGATGAAGTCTTTCTGAAGGGCTTGCTGGACCAGTTACAATCCAGCACACCACCTATACCCACCTCCTTGGTTCCTCCTCACTCCCATGGCCCCATCAGAATTGCAGCAGCATTCACAGCCTAGTCCTGGCACATTTCTTCTCAGCACTGACAGCCAGCAATGAGAGGAGAACTGTTCTACTGGGGCATTACAGAGTGCCGCAACCAAGGGTTAATGGGGCACTGGCTCACTGGGAGAAGCAGGTCACCTACTATGGTCCTACCCCAGCAGTTGGTAATTTTCAAAAATTCGTAACCTTGCTTTTTTGCTCTCAGGACATAAACATTCTGCTTAATATGCAGCAGCTGACACACTCAACTTGTAACCAGTCTATGAGAAATATGCTAATTTGCATACTCTTTCGTTTAAAAATTGTGTTTCAATAAGCTACAGAATTTAATCAATGAATGAGCTTTTTCTAAAACTTAACATTCAGACAAGCAAGTAAACAGTAACTAAACTAATTATGTTCATGTATCAGTTAGAGATATATTATGTCTATGATCCATATGAAGCTTCTACTGCTGTCAATAAGAAATATGTGCACAGCCGAATAACGGAATATATAGCACTCACCCTTTATTCATTTTCTATTTAATGGAAGAAATAATTTCCTCTAAGTTTTGTTGTAGGTAGGACTATAATATTTTTTCTTTTCATAGAATCATAGAATATCAGGGTTGGAAGGGACCCCTGAAGGTCATCTAGTCCAACCCCCTGCTCAAAGCAGGACCAATTCCCAGTTAAATCATCCCAGCCAGGGCTTTGTCAAGCCTGACCTTAAAAACCTCTAAGGAAGGAGATTCTACCACCTCCCTAGGTAACGCATTCCAGTGTTTCACCACCCTCTTAGTGAAAAAGTTTTTCCTAATATCCAATCTAAACCTCCCCCACTGCAACTTGAGACCATTACTCCTCGTTCTGTCATCTGCTACCATTGAGAACAGTCTAGAGCCATCCTCTTTGGAACCCCCTTTCAGGTAGTTGAAAGCAGCTATCAAATCCCCCCTCATTTTTCTCTTCTGCAGGCTAAACAATCCCAGCTCCCTCAGCCTCTCCTCATAAGTCATGTGTTCCAGTCCCCTAATCATTTTTGTTGCCCTTCGCTGGACTCTTTCCAATTTATCCACATCCTTCTTGAAGTGTGGGGCCCAAAACTGGACACAGTACTCCAGATGAGGCCTCACCAATGTCGAATAGAGGGGAACGATCACGTCCCCGATCTGCTCGCTATGCCCCTACTTATACATCCCAAAATGCCATTGGCCTATTTGATTGCATCAACGTGAAATAAGAGGAAGCAGGTAAAAAGCCTATTTTTTTTCTGATCTGTAGGAAGTGTAAAAATCTTGGAATCCAGTGTTTTGCACAACCATTGCTACGCACATTTAAATACTGTTGCTGTTTTACAATCTGAATACTAACCCGGGCATACTGACCGCACAGCAAAAAGAACTTGCCCGCCTGAAAATGTTTTTTTTCTCCTTCAAAGTATAGTGCAATACTCTGATAGTCTTCATTGGTAGTATTCTCAGAACCTGCAACACAGACACTAAGGTGAGCAAAACTCTTCTCATGAAACAAAGGTTTATAGATCCCATCAAAGAGGCAAACCACATATTTCACATTTTTGGCTTTTGGTTTTCAAACAAAATAGGAGCCAGCTGGATTTATAACTTCTGTTTTGCACAGTTTATACCTACTTAATGTGCCACATTTGATCTTTGAGAAAGGACTAATGACTAAGGCTACGTTTTAGTCATGGATATTTTTAGTAAAAAAGTCATGGACAGGTCAATTCACAGTCTCTGACCTGTCCATGACTTTTACTAAAAATACCCGTGACTAAAACTTGGGGAGGGGGAGGTGCAGCGGCCCGTGGCCCAGGACCCCCGCTGGTGCTGGAGGGGTGCGGGTGGTGGCGCACAGCCCAGGACCCCTGCTGGTGCTGGGGCAGGGGGATGTTGGCAAAGCCGGCAGGCTCCCAACCTTTAGCTCTGCGCCTCCCCACACCCAGCAGCAGCAGAGTTGGGGTATGGGAGGGGGCAGGGGAACAGGATGGAGTGAGGCAGGCTGTGGGTGGTGCTTACCTGGGGGGTCCCCAGAAGTGACGACATCCCCCTTGCTCAGCTGCTAGGTGAAGGCGTGGCCAGGCAGCTCTGCGTGCTGCCTCCGCCCAGAGCACTGGCTTCGCAGCTCCCTTTGGCTGGGAATCGTGGCCAATGGGAACTGCGGGGGCGGTGCCTGCAAGCGCATCACCTGCTGAAGAAGTCACAGAATCCGTGACAAACTCGCAGCCTTACTAATGATTTACTGGATAAATTCTTTAATTTAGGTTTTACACCATAATGTAATTACCCTTGTTGTTTATTAGACAGTCAAATGGCATAACTGTGAACTGGTTCAGTGAGTTTTCCATTGCCTCCTGGTATTAATTTCACACAGCTGCACATTGTCATTACAGACTTCTCTATGTCTTTCTTCACAAATAGGCCATAAATTGCTAAAGAATTCCAAATAAAATTATTAAAATAGAATTCTCACCAATGATGTCAGCATAAATCTCCATCTTATTGTGCTGTTGGGCCAGTGTGAAAGCTTCATTATTACACTTGGACATGACCAGAAACTGGATGGCAGAACCATAGTCACCCAACTGCAGAAAGAATCTGATCAGAATAAACACATTAATACTTTTGTTAAATAACACAATAAACACATTCCAAATGTTTTCCAAAGAAAATCTCTTGTGCAAGGAGTGTGGCAACTGAGGGACCATTAAATCATTCTTCTAAATCTTCTAGTGTGCTCCTATTAGGATATGCATGTACCTTATGATAAACTAAGGCTTTTCAATTTGAAGCTTGCTTGTTTATAGTTTTCTAAAAGATTCTAATAATTTGGGATAAAATTTTGTATGTTTATTGACAGGCCAGAAGTGAACTTTTTGGATGAAACTTTGGTAAATTTCTGTTTGGCCAATTTTGAGACATTCAAGTGCAAAAAGTGTTTTTCAGATGCCTTTTTCTAATGATATTTTCATATACTCTTTCTTCCATTTAAAACTTGACATTGGTTCTCAGTGAGGATTACTGATTTTGAAATATACTTTAAAAATAATAAAGCTGAAGTTCTCATTGTTTCACATCATCTGTCCAATTATGTTCCTTATGCATAGAGTGTGATGTTCTTGATATGCACCCAGGGAACCATACATGGCACTTTGAACTGAATGGATATTTACTGCTTTTGTTTGTTTGTGTGATTGTATGTAAGAGTAAGAACGTGCAAACTTGTGCACTCAGAGTGAAATTCACTCCCCTTGTGTAGAAACCAGAGAATGCAGGGAGGATGTAGTGATGAAATACACTTCCCCTCCCACTCCCAAACCAAGGTCCGTGTGCAGGGCTCCAGTAGCAGCCACAACCCCAATGCAATGGTTCTACAGGATACTGGGACCACTGGATCTGCAAAAACACAAACTGGAGTTGGTTGCCATGGCCTTCCTTTGTCTCTGAAGGCACCTTCCACACATGTCCTGCAATGACTAGTACAGTGACTAGCACCATGGCATGCAACAGGCAGCTTATTTGGCTACCCAGCAGACTAACCTTGTACAGAATAGAGCTTACATGGTGCAAATAGACTTGCAGTGGTCCTCAACACCACGAGTGAATATCACCCTCGGTTTGCAAATTTTAAGTTTAACTGACTAGCACAAGCTTTGGCCCTACATAAAGCTATAGATGTGCTAAAATGAGCATTCTAGAGGCTTAAAAAAAAAAAAGCCCCCACCTTTCAGTGCTCAACTCAGGGATTATGAAGTGTTGCACTATACAAAAAACACAGATTCAGATTTATGATAATAACCTAGAGATGCCCCTTCTATGCGCCATAAGGCTTTATGGAAATATACTTATGAATGTATATATGACATAACTAGAATGTGTTTTATGCTACATATGCCATGTAACATATCTCTGTAAAGGTTATGATCTACTGAATCTATTAATCCTATTTGTATGCATGTATCATTTTTGTATTCGAAGTTATGAATATTGGCTGCATACTTGTTTGATTCTAAGTAGGTTTTAGTGAAGCAGTTGGTCAGCTTCCTGAGAAAAGACTATTCTTAGTAAGTGCCCAGTCAAGAAGCCCTTAAGCCAACAATGAACGTGGAGATGCCCATCCACATCTGGGCTTTCCCAGGAATGTGGCTTGGTTGGTAAGGAACTCAGTCATGCCTGGACATGTGACTTGCCCAGGTGACTCCAAAACTCCATTTTGTAGCTAGACTTTGCATAAGAGAGAGGAGGGGGTCTTCACCCACAAGAGAAAGTCTATTTAAAGCCCCGGGAGACCCCTCCATTTTGTCTTCAGCTGGCTACAGCGCCTCTCCACCCCCAAAGATACCTGAAAGAAACTGGAACAAAGGACGGTAACTACAGGGGGTGTGAGTGATTGCTGGACCCAGACTAGAGGAGGCTAGTCTGTAAAAGAGGCTTACTGGAACATCTCTGAGGGTGAGATTTTATCGGTATTCAGCTTCTTACTGTATTAGCATAGATTTGCGGGTTTTATTTTGTTTTGCTTGGTAATTCACTTTGTTCTGCCTGTTACTACTTGGAAACACTTTAAATCCTACTTTCTGTATTTAATAAAACTACTTATTAATTAACCCAGAGTATATATTAATACCTGGTGGGCGGGGTGCAAACAGCTGTGCATATCTCTCTATCAGTGTTATAGAGGGTGAACAATTTATGAGTTTACCCTGTATAAGGTTTATACAGGGTAAAACGGATTTATTTGGGGTTTGGACCCCATTGGGAGTTGGGCATCTGAGTGTTAAAGACAGGAACACTTCTTAAGTTGCTTTCAGTTACGTCTGCAGCTTTGGGGCACGTGGTTCAGACCCAGGGTCTGTGTTGGAGCAGACTGGCATATCTGGCTCAGCAAGACAGGGTGCTGGAGTCTCAAGTTGGCAGGGAAGGCAGGGGCAGAAGTAGTCTTGGCACATCAGTTGGCAGTCCCAAGGGGCTCTCTGTGATCCAACCCATCACACCCACCCCATAAATTAAAATATACAATACAAAATAAAATAAAAAAGAATATCCTTCCCAGATACCAGGTAATGATAAGAGAATTTAATATAACTCAAATAACTAAAGGGACTATGCTTTACATGGTTACAAGCTAGAAGACATGAATCAAGCAAAAGAAATCTGTTGATAAGAATGGACAGACACTCAAGACTTCTACAGTAAGAAAAGCAAACAGAAGACTGGACTGTATCAACAAATTAATAGAGAAGACATCCAAAAAACTGAATAGCCCTTTGTAAAAGTGAAACCTCTCTGTGGATGGACTAGAGGGCTTACTATTTACATCTCATTTTTTAATCACTTCTAGTGTACTGAGCATAATTCTAGCACTTGGCAAAAAATATAGAAGAGGGCAACAAGGATGATGGCATGAGAGGTTATAAAGAAGTAATGTTAGGAAAGTTAGGTTTGTAAATCTATCTAATGTAACTACAGTACTGCATTACCTGGCTACCATCTTGGCTCCATCGAGAGACTGTGTTTCCCTGACAACACTAACAGCTTTTTCAGGATTGTTAAGATGATCCAAATATAGCCGGATTACATTGTCCCATTGTTTGGCATTCTCATAAGCCACAACCGCTTCCTTGTATCTGCAAAATGATGATGTCCACATTTTACATTCAAGCTTTCTTGGCTTTGTTAGGAATTCTTTACAATATTCTATGCAAGCGACTCATAACATTTTACACCTGAGAAGTTATGCTGTGAAACCAAGTTGTTGTTTGTTTAGGAAATTTGTTTATTAGATGTTTATTAGATTATTAGATGTTTATTAGATGTTTATTAGATTACACCCCTTTTGAACTCTTCTTTTATTGGGATGGATAATGGCAGTAGGAAGACAGACAACACTTCATACAATACCATCTTTTGACTCACCTTGAAAGACAAGCAGCATTATCAGTCTACATACTTTATGAGGGTATCTACACAGTCATCTAAACTGGCAAGTTAGCCACGTCAAACTGGTTTTGAATAATAGCTACTATTCAACATTTAACAAGAGGAAAAAATGGTTACTAACCTTTTATAATGGTTGTTCAAGAGGTGTTGCTTATGTCCATCCCATGTTAGGTGTGTGTTCTCACTACATGCACCGGTGCCGGAAGTTTTTCCCTCAGTGGTATCCGTAGGGGACCAACTCTGGCACCCTCTGGAGTGGTGCACATGTGTGCTGGTGTAAGGGGCACTGCTGGCCCCCTCCCTCCCTCAATTCCTTCTTACCGGAACTCCGACAGTGGGGAAGGAGGGTGGGTCATGGAATGGGCACAAGCAACACATCTCGAAGAACAACAGTTACAAAAGGTTGGTAACTGTTTTTTCTTCTTTGAGTGATTGCTCATTTCCGTTCCATGTTAGGTGACTCCCAAGCAGTATCCCCTGTGTGTCGATTGCAACACAGCTCTGTCAAAGGCAGCCTCATCTCTAGCCTGCTGGGTGATGGCATAGTGGGTCGTGAAGGTATGCACCAATGACAATGTTGCGGCCCTGCAGATATTCTGGATAGGGACTTGTGCCAGGAAGGCTGCCAATGATGCCTGAGCTCTGGCGTCACTATCTGCTGAGGTACAACTTGCGCCAGTTCATAACAAGTGCGAATGTAGGTGGTAATCCAAGACAAAAGCCCTTGAGAAGACACGGGGAGGCCTTTCATTCTGTTGGCCACTGCGATGAAGAATTGAGTTGATTTACAGAAGGACTTAGTGCGCTCTAAGGAAAAGACCAGAGCCTGCCCGACGTCAAGGGTGTGCATATGTCTCTCCTTGTTCGACGCGCGAGGCTTCAGGAAGAAAATGGGGAGAAATATGTCCTGGTTAATATGGAAAATCGACACCACCTTTGGCAGGAAAGCCGGGTGGACATACAACTGAACCTTGTCCTTGTAGAACACCGATGTAAGGGCTTTAATCTCTGATACCTGCCTCGCTGAAGTGATAGCCACACAGAAGGCAACTTTCCAAGATAGATGTGAAAGAGAGCAGGAGGCTAACAGCTCGAAGGCAGGGCCAGTGAGCCTAGAAAGGACTAGATTGAGGTCCCACTGGGGTACTGGGTTCTGGGCTGGCAGAAAGAGCCTTTCCAGGCCCTTAAGAAACCTGATCGTCATCTCATGTGAGAACTCTGATTTGCCCTGGACACAGGGGTGGAAGGCTGAAATGGAGGCCAGGTGCACCTTGATTGAGGAGAAGGCTTGGCCCGATGCTTTAAATGAAGCAAGTAGTCTAAAATGGACTGCAGGGACTACTGGGTCAGGGAGATCCCTTGCTCCAATGCCTAGCAGGAGAAGCGTTTCCATTTTGCCAGGTAAGTTACTCTAGCAGAGGGATTTCTACTTTCCAGCAGCACTCGCTGGACCTGCTCCTCTGGGTTCAGCCATGCAACATCCATGCTGTGACATAGAGTGGGGTGAGGTTTGGCTGTATAACCGCCCATGACCCTGAGAGAGCAGATCTGGGTGGTTGGGAAGCGTCATGGGGGCGCTGACGCCAAGTCCATGAACATGCCAAACCAATGCTGAGGTGATCATGGCGACCCTGGCTTTGTCCCTCTTTATTTTCAGGAGGGTCCCGCCGATAAGAGGGATTGGCGGGAAGCCATACATCAGATTGTCTGCCCAAGACACGAAAAAAGTCCTTGGAGGAAGCAAAACCAGTGGCACTTCCCATTCCACCTGGTGGCGAACAGGTGCACTTGGGGAGTTCCCCACCTCTGGAAGATCATTTTGACAACCTCCTCGTGGAGGGACCACTTGTGGTGAGAACAGAACGCCCTGCTGAGGAAATCTGCCAATGTGTTTTAGACACCAAGGAGATGTATCACCTCAATGTGTATGCCATGCCGGATACAGAACTCCCACAGCTGGAGGGCTTCTTGGCAGAGAGCTGTGGACCCTGCACCTCATTGCCTGTTGACACAGAACATGGCAGCTGTATTGTCAGTCAACACCTGAACCACTTGATAGGACAGTCAAGAAAGGAACACCTTGCAAGCAAACAGATGCCTCTGAGCTCCCTGACTTTGATGTCTAGTGTGAGCTCCTCCCAGGACCATAACCCCTGGATCTTCAGCGATCCAAGGTGGGTCCCCCAGCCTAGGTCGGATGTGTCCGACACTAGCATCTTTGTAGGTTTTGGGGCTGAAAAGGGTGTTCCTTCGGAAACGTTTACTGGGTTTGATCACCATTTCAGAGCTATAAGCACTTGCGGCAGAATTGTGAGGACTCTGTCCAGGTGGTGCCTGGCTGGGACGTAAACTGACGCTAACCACATCTGGAGGGGCCTGAGCCACAGACGTGCATGATGAACTACATAAGTGCACGCTGCCATATGTCCTAGGAGCCTGAGGCATACTCTGGCCATGGTGATAGGGTGGGTGGTGAGTTGGGTGATGAGAGCTGACATTGTCTTGAATCTGGGCTCTGGGAGAAAAGCTCTGGCCCGTGTATAGTCTAGGGCTGCCCCCATAAACTCTATTATTTGCACTGGCACTACCATTGCTTTTTTTGTTTATCAACAGGCCAGTGCCTGGCACACGGCTTCTACCACCCGAACACTGCAATGGACCTGAGCCTGCGAATGACCCTTGATGAGTCAATCATTGAGGTATGGGTAGATCTGAATGCCCTGTTGCCTGAGGTATGCAGCGACCACCACCATACATTTTGTAAACACCCTTGGTGCTGTCGCTAGACCAAATGACAGCACTGCAAACTGGAAGTGGTTTCGTCCCACTACAAACTGCAGGAATCTTGTGTGTCCATGGAAGATGGCGATATGAAAGTATGTGTCCTTTAAGTTGAGGACAATGTACCAGTCTCCAGGATCCAGGGAGGGGATGACGGAGGCCAAGGAAACCATGCAAAACTTCAACTTCTTGAGATACTTGTTGAGGCCTCGCTGGTCCAAAATGGGGCGTAGACTGCCCTTGGCCTTTGGTATGAGAAAATACCGGGAATAGAAGTCTTTCCCCTTCTGATGTACAGGGATTTCTGCTGCAGCCGTGACTCATAAGAGGGCTTGCACCTGTTGCGAAAGAAGCTGCTTGTGAGAAGGGTCCCTGAAGAGGGACAGGGAAGGGGGCAGGGAAGGAGGGGGTAGAAATAAACTGTAGGGTATACCCCATTGCCACAGTCCTGAGGACCCAGCGGTCCGTTGTTATAGCAGCCCAAGCAGGGCAGAAGGGAGAAAGGTGGTTGGAAAATAAAAGGGGTGTAGGATCCTGTCTGCAGACTGGGACGTTGCCCTCGGGCACACCCTCAACATGCCTGCTTGTTACCCCGGGGGTAACGGGAAGAACCCGAGAGGCAGGGCCCAATTGTTGGCCTTGGCGGTGCTTATAGTCCCTGCCCTTCTTGTGGTAGAGCTCCTGGTCTAGCTTGACCGTTTGGTCGATGAGGTTGCTGCGGTTTGAACCTCTTTCTAGGGGGGCTAGTGTATATAGGGCTAGGGAACATAGGGTAGCCCTAGAATCCTTAAGCCCATGCAACCTCATGTCCGTCGGGTCTGCGAACAGGGCCAGGTCATCAAAAGGGAGGTCCTCGATCGAGAGTTTAGCCTCTGTCGACAGCTCAGAGGACATCAGCCACAATGCCCACCTCATGGACACAGTTGTCGCTATGGATCTCCTGACCGAGTCCACCGCATCAGAGGCGGCCTGACGGGAGCCCCTTGCCACAGTTTTCCCCTCATCTAGGATGGCAAGGAATTCTTGCGTGGACTCCTCCGGTAACAAGTCTGCAAAGTTCAATATTGACTGCCACACGTTGAAATCAGACCTCTCGAGTAAGGCCTGATGGTTTGCCACTCATAATTGGAGGCTGGCAGACGAATAAACTTTTCTCCCAAATAAGTCAAGCATTTTACCAGCCTTATTTTTGGGAGTTGGGCCTGGTTGCCCTTGTCTATCTCTTGTTGACCGCCGAGATCACTAGAGTATTCGGGGCCAGGTGAGAATACAAGTACTCAAATGTTTCACGGGGATGTAATACTTTTTCTCTGCCTGCTTGGAAATGGGCGGGAGAGAGGATGGGGTTTGCCACAAAGTTTTTACCAGCTTTACCACCTGTTCATGAATGGGGAGTACCACCGTGGATGGGAGCAGTGCTCCGAGCTCTGAGAGCAGTGCTCTGAGTCTGGTGACTGGGAATGGGATGGATGGGAGCGCCGCTTTGACCCAGACGATTGGTACCGCGAGTCTGGAGATCTGCACCTCGGTACCAGCTGGGATCGACTTTGCCGTGGCCCCGATGGAGTCCCTTATCCTGGGGAGCAATATCTCCTCTCTGGAGACCGGCGCCATTCTGGGGACCGATGGCATGCTGAGGCCCTGTGTCAGCCATCAGGCAAGCGGTGCCATCCCACAGGGGACTGGTGCTGAGAGTCCCGTGAATGGGGCTGGGAACTTTGGTCGGTTTGGGCAGGTCAGAAGTGCATCCCCAGGGATTGGCACTTTGATGTCAACTGCCGCGGTGCCAGGGAGTGATGCCGCATAGACAGAGATCATGGCATGGATCCCAGTGCTGGCTTCCCCCTGGAGATGACCATGTCTTGGCACAGTGTCGGGGGCACCAGCAAAGACAATGTCTTTTGCAGCTTGGAAGGCCTCTGGCATGGACAGGATTTCCAGGTGCTGGGGCCTCTGCCACTACTCGTGGGGCCGGTGGATTCCTAGGAGGGCTGGCTGGCCTAGCCGGCGATGCAGGTGCCTGGTTGGGCTCCGGAGACTTTCTGCCCCAAAAGGGTCCCCAGACTTTCCCTTTCCCACATGGGATGTTGGGGAATGCCCTCCCCCGGGTGCCTCCTCTGCTTCTTAGCCGGGACTGTGACTGGCACCAGAAGGCCAGTGCCAGAGGTGCACTTTGCACTAATGCCGCTGTACTCGGTGCCAAGTCCAATTTTGGTGGCTCAAAGACTGTCACAAAGCCTGAATCATGATGAGCGCTCTCAGTCTTACATCCCACTCCTTTTTTGTTCTGGGCTTGAAGCTCTTACAAATGCAGCACTTATCGCTAATGTGGGCTTCTCCCAAACACTTCAAGCAACTTTGGTGAGGGCCGCTGATCAGCATAGGCTTTCTACAGCCATCATAAGGCTTGAAACCTGGGGAACGGGGCATGTCCCGTCCCTGGGCTAAGTCCCACAGGGGACTATCTAACCTATCTACAACACTAGCACACTAGTTATTAAAGAACAAAAGAACTACTTATCTAACTATTTATAACACTAAGAGAAAAAAACCACTGGGTAAGTAAGTGCTTGCCGAAACAAGGAGATGTTCCAGCACCATCACTGGCGGTAAGAAGGAATTGAGGGAGGGAGGGGGCCCCCAGCACCCCTTTATACCTGCGATATGAGCGCCACTCCAGACGGCACCAGAGCTTGTCCCCTACAGATAACACTGAGGAAAAAACTTCCAACGCCAGTGCATGTGGCGAGCACACACCTAACATGGAATGGACATTAGCAATCACTCGAAGAAGAACTCCCATTCTCTTCTAGTCAAACAAGTTACAATAGGACCTTCCTCATTCACACACTCTATTACTGGCATAAAAATAGTGGCCTCTGCTCACGTCACAAGAAATATTTAGCAGAAGATCACTGTAGTGAGTCCTCATAATACTAAGACTGTTATTGTCACAAAATATTCTGCAGTACACTTAATTGTATATTACAAATAGCAAAAACTATATTTTGTGTTTAAGTATCCTTGCTTTTGTGTTTGCTTCTCTAAACATTAATCAATAATTTACAAAGATTGTCCCTGTCTTTGTGTAAATGAGGTGCATTGTATTAATTTAGATGGGAATAAATAGGTTGAAATAGTCAAAGGTATTATCAGGACGCTGTTTCTATCCAACATTAAATAGTGTTAAACAAGGTTCAGGTTTGGAATAGAGACCCTAGCCTGCTTAGTACCATGGCAACTATAAAATTGAACAGTCTTATAACCTTTTATTAAAGATACAGAAAACAAAGGAAAACAGTTAAAGCATTTAAAACATAAAGTCTTAAGTAAGGCTTTCATTTTAACAACATTCCTTGTTTCCTTTGCCTTTAGCTATAGAGTTTTTAGAAGGAACTGTTGTTTGACAGTCTCTTATGCGGTAATAATGTTGGTAATAACTGTCCTTTTGGGGAAATGAAAAGATATTAGTTGAGCTGTTTGGGTTGCTGTTGCAAGTCCAGTTCTGTTTCCTAGAAGACACACACAAGAGGGAAGAGAAAAGAACAGCGAAGATAGAAAAGATGCAGCTTTTGTGTCTGGAACCACACTGTTGCAACCACACTCAACTATCTGCAACCACACTGCTGCGTGGGGAGGGGAAATGGCTGACTGTCTTAATAGCCACTGCGAGATCTGGCAAACTTGTACCAGCATCTTTAGGGCATTGCTTTTTGTCACCTCTTTCTGGTCACAGGGTAACAGCAATGTTACAAATAAGTCTTGCTTGGCTAAGCCAGATTCTTATTAAGCAGAAGGTAAAAGCAGAGGGACAGGAAAGAAGAAATATGGGGGGAGGGGAGGGTTTGAAGAAAGAAGACACACTGTGTGCGCACGTGCATGTGAGAGACAGGGAGAGTCTCACATCCCAGGTAGCATTCAGAATTTAGCTGGAGCTGGTGGAGGTGGCAATGTCATCTGAATCCTCCTCTCTGGCCCAATCTGGTCAGCATCTTTCTCAGGATCAGTATAAGAGATCCCCACAGTGTTACAATAGATTACGGGGAATCAAGAGACTGTGGCAACTATGATCGTAAAGCCTGCTGCAGCAGTTTCTGGCAAACAGCTTCTTCCTCCTGAATTTCCCCAAAAAGTTTTCTCTTTTAAGGACTTCAAAAGGGCAGTGATGGGCAGAGTAGCCCATCCTCTCAATATTCTGATCATCAGTTAGCCCCAATTTTCTTGTCTACCAGGCATGATCTTAACACAGTCCTTGAATTATATCAATAGCCTGAATTAGTACAAACAAAAAAGCCTATCTCCCTTTTCCACCTTTTCCCATCAATGTTTATTGTTATAGGTTATTGTGACATTTTGTGCCACTCACTTCTTACAGTTGCGCTCACAATGAAGGTAAATTTGGAGACCCAATTATTACAAACAGTGCTACTGTAATTTATTTTAAAAAGAAAAAACTGTTTGTTTCCCAGACTGTGACGACTAATCATAGCTTTTTATAAAAACTCAGGAGTCTTTAGAAGAAAAATAAACTTCAGCACATCACATCCACTGAACAAAGCTACAGTACTTAACAGCTTTAATGCTACTTTTTAAAAAATAGCTTTTTAAAGTTTAACCCAAGGATAATCAATCAGAAGTATTTCTTTCCTAATCAGCAGCATAATCTTTGTCTAGTATCAAGACGTTTGCATAACACTTGATTTTTATATTTTTCAACGAATACGTATTCACTACATATCCTAATTTTTTTATGAATAAAACTGTGAATATTAACATTCTGTAGCTTTAAACCCTTGACTAATTGATTCTGGAAATTAAACACACCTGCCATCTGCTTCTTTTGCCTTGGCATACTGCAGGTGTATCTTTGGAGATGATACACAAGGGAGAAGCTCACCAACCTTTGCCCTAGAAAACAAAGAGAATAAAGTAATCAAATAATAAATGTGATCTTTCTTTTTAATTTGTCTTCACCAAATAAAGTATATGCATATTTATAGAAATACTCGAGAGAAAAGAAAAAGGAACTTACAAAATGCATGTAGTATGAATACCAGCAACAACATGATCTTATTCTTTAGTAATAATTAAGACAAAAAAAAATTAGTATGTAAAAGTGATCTCATTTTCATTTACACGAACAAGGAAATTAATCATGATATTTTGCATTACAAATATGCTCTCTTCTGTTATATACAAGAGAAGCTTTGAAAGAGCTTCAAAGTTTTCAAAAATATGCACTTGCTACACGTCTAAAAACTATTAATTGGTTACTGTGCATTTTCAGGCCATTTTATGCTGTTGTGACAATGTAAAGGGGCCTTACAGAATTAGAATATCATTTCTTCCTTGTTTTAATTTTGGATGTGATCATACGCCCCATTATTCAGAGGTATTTAGCTATTTAGAAATCAGTGGAAGTTACGTGCCTAAATACTTTAGCTGATCTGGTCCGTAGTTTCTATTTGTGAAAAGTGCCAGACAGACCACGCTGGACTCTGCCGTACTCTCATTTATTCACAGAAAAGGCACAAAACTGATGACAGCAATGCAAGCTTTCCCTGCACTTCCCCAATGTATCTCAATTCTGACCTGGAGGAACTAGCTCTTGAGGAGAGGGTACATCTGTCTTTCTACCAATTCAATTATTGTTCGCTCTGCAGAGATTGCTAAGAGGAGTCCAATTATGGTGGCAATTCTATTATGTAAACACCTGCTCCCTAGGAACTGGACAAGGGCCAAGTTCATTTTGAAAATGACATTGAACAGCCATATGATGCTAAAACAAAGAGGAGTCCTTGTGGCACCTTAGAGACTAACAAATTTATTTGGGCATAAGCTTTTGTGGACTATAACCCACTTCATCAGATGCATGGAGTGAAAAATTTAATAGGCAGGTATAAAAATACATCACATGAAAAGATGGGAGTTGCCTTACCATGTGTTGGGTCTGTGCTAACGAGGCCAATTCAGTTAGGGTGGATGTGGCCCATTCCCAACAGTTGACAAGAAGGGGTGAGTATCAACAGAGGGAAAAGTATTTTTTGTAGGAACTCAGCCACTCCCAGTCTTTATTCAGGTTTTTATTCAGAACTGGAATTAATTTGCAAACTTGACACTATCAAATTAGGTCTGAATGAAGACTGGGAGTGGCTGAGTCACTAGAAAAAATAATTTTCCCTCTGTTGACACTCACCCCTTCTTGTCAACTGTTGGGAATGGGCCACATCCACCCTGACTGAATTGGCCTCGTTAGCACCGACCCCCCACTTGGTAAGGCAACTCCCATCTTTTCATGTTTCTGTATATTTATACCTGCCTTCTGAATTTTTCACTCTATGCATCTGATGAAATGGGTTATAGCCCACAAAAGAGCTTATGCCCAAATAAATTTGTTAGTCTCTAAGATACCACAAGGACTCCTCGTTGTTTTTGCTGATACAGACCTGTGTTGAATTTGAACCAGCAGCCTAGAACTAAAAGGCTGTGTTGCACTCCCAGGTGTATCATCTTTTGTAAATCAAGAAGCTTTCATGAAATAAATATAATTAGGCAAGTAAAAGGATTCAAAGTGTGTAGTACACAAAGATTCTGAAAGCCCAGTTACAGAGTCAAGCTAATCAGAAATTTGCTGATTAGCGTAGCTGTTGTTTGGGTTGGGTTTTTTTTAACAAAGTTTTGATTTACATCAACCCGTGTTTCTGAAGATTTAGAGTGTAAATCATACTTGACCTAGTCCCCAAGAAAAAGTCAGTAGACTGACTGTCATGTGAATTATGTGTCTGATTAATCAAGATGATCAGGGACTCCTATTCCTTTTCAAAGGGCATTACGATATAACCTGTTTTTCAAGGAACGTAAAACTGCACTAAAGCTGCACTTACCAGTTTTTACAGCGGATATATACTGATGCTGCTTTGTCATGATATTGCCCCTTTTCATATAGTTGGGCGGCTTCTGAAAATTGCTACAATAATGAAAATTATACAAATGTTTATTTATTTGTAACTGGGAATTCATCATGTTATTAATACTCTCTCTATTACTAGGGATACCTTCATACTCTCCAGAATGGCTCCACAGTCTCTCTTTAGCAGCCTGCTAGGATGTTTAATGGCTTGGTTAACCCCCCGACGAATGTCTCCCATTCGAATGGACATCTGAGCCACTCCAGCTAGGCAAGCTTCATCATGTTCCTGGTATTGGCGATCAAAAGTAAAGTGATAACTATATTTTCAGTACAAAAAGTATTGGTTTTACAGAAGCCATTGCAATTATTTCAACAACAGTGAAATGCATCAACCAGAAACGACCTGACCTCAGGTAAAGCTGTTCTTGTCTAGAAAATTTAAACCAGAGCCTTAAAAGGCAACAGTCAGTATTTATGATTAAATAATGGTGCCATTAATTGTGGAAAAGCCTATGTTTTCGTTGCTGGCTATATTTAGGTGACTTTCTTGTGAAGTTTCGTCTAGTGTTTCACACTACATTCTATTTTTTGAAATAACTGACTAGGCCAGGTATACAGGACAAAGGTAAGTTTCAAAAAGAGACAAAGAAACAGAACAACACACCAAAACATATGTACAGAAAAAGACAGATGGGGAAATTACTTGCTTCTAATTGGACTTATCTCAAAGTACTAGCCCCAAATTCATACATTTGGTTTTAAAATATACATGAAAGCATTGCTATTTTGCTTGTTTTGAAAAATCTGACTATTCATTTTATTCTTCTTTACTGAACGATTGACTACACTAAAGGAACAGAAATCTATATAAGTATCATATAAAAATATATTATTATTTTGGCACTGTCTCCTTTAATATTTACAGAATTATTGTGAAATTGTTCAAATGGTAAAAATAATTTCCCAGTACTACAATCTTAATGCAGTACTGTTTTACATAAAGTAAGCCATTTTTCTTTGTGTATAAAATTATAGGAAAGACCAATATATCAATATTGTTCTTTGAAAAGGAAGAGAGTCAAATCATTTACAAAAAGAATCTCTAAGGTGCCACAAGTACTCCTTTTCTTTTTGCAAATACAGACTAACACGGCTGCTATTCTGAAACATATTGTTTACAGAAAAATACAAAATCCTGTATTTAAATAAACTGTCACAGAAGAATTCAGTGTACAATATATATTATAATTACTTGTATGCCACCATCATTGAAGAGTGTTACCTTATTGTCCCTTGTGATTCCCTTCTCATAGTGTGCCAAAGCATTCACATAATCACCCCTAAAAGAAAATAATAATATATGTGTAAAAATGTTTATTAATAGGAACAAGTTGCAGAGATATGAAGCCTGCATACATAGCTGACAAATAAATGGAATGGATCTCCTAATCAACTCTTATTAAAACACAGTTAATTCTGTGATCACATTTTTGGAGCATTTAATGTAAGCTGCAATTCTTTTTTGAGGTGGCCGCTGCATATTCCCATTTTGTGTGATTTGCACCCCTAGTGCTGCTGCATTTCCTTTGGGAACCTTCTGGAAAGCAGCATGTGTTGGGGCTGCATGAGCACCTTTTCATGACTCCCAACATTCAGAGCTAAGGTTACAAAAGTGCCATATGGTCAAAAATGCCTCAGTTCCCTCCTTTCTGTAGCCACCTGCAGGAATCTTCTCTCAGTATACAGGGTGATTTGGGGGATTTTGATCCAAAACTCCCTTAATTTCTAGACTTAAATTGTGTTATAGTTACTTAGTAAGTGTTATGTAGTTTGTGCCACAACATATTTAGTTTTCACTTTGACCCTATGGGCCTTGAACCTTTTAATTATGGCTCACCAGGACTCTGTGGCTCAGACAAGAAGGGTGGAATTAAGCATGGGTGTCATGTCCCTTCATGTTTGGATATTAGGAAAATCTTTTTCACTAGGAGGGTGGTGAAGCACTGGAATGCGTTACCTAGGGAGGTGGTAGAATCTCCTTCCTTTGAGGTTTTTAAGGTCAGGCTTGACAAAGCCCTGGCTGGGATAATTTAGTTGGGGATTGGTACTGCTTTGAGCAGGGGGTTGGACTAGATGACCTCCTGAGGTCCCTTCCAACCCTGATATTCTATGATTCTATGTTCCAAGAAGAATAAGGAGTGAGTATGCACACCTGTCTCTTGGAGAAGCCTCTTTCCTAGATCACTTCTAGGCCTTTACACCTTGAGCTCAACAAGCAACGGAGGCTGATTTAAGAAAGAAGTATCCTATTTTGATACCACTAATGTTGACTGAATGATTTATTTACCGACTTAAACAAAATAGAAATAAGACATTTTTATTCCAAAATAAGAGGGTTCCCAGACTTGTTCCAAAACAACATAAGGTGTGAATTAAAATTGATTTAATGATTTCAGTGCACATTTGCTTAGAAATAAGGCCTCAGGGGTTTATGGCTGTCGTGCCAAAATCTTCTATGGTCCTAGGAAGTAAGCCTTCTAAAGCTCAAATGTCACTGGTGATGAGGCTGAATTTAACTTCTAAGGAGCTCCTTCATATGATCTCTTTGGTAGCGTAGAAACCTGGTACCATGGGAAGCACTCTCTCAGCCACTGTTTTCCCATAAATCTCACTTACTTTACCAGACTAAGCCTGCTCAGTGGCTGCTCACGGGTACATACTTGAAGCAGCCATGATTCCCTATCTTGATTTGGCAGCCAAAGGGAACAGGATATCTACCTGGTAGGGGCAGCTATATAGTTAGGTTTAAAAGACAAGGAGAGTAGGGTAGATTCCTTCTCTCTACCAGGGACTGCTGACCTGGAAGTCTGGCTCTCCTCTTTCACAAATATGCAGGAAATGGGATAACACAGGGTGACCTAGGAAGGAGAGGAATGGGCATTTAAGTACCAGGCTGTCTTCCACTCTCAACAGTGGAGATAAAAAGTGGCAGGTAGGAGAAAGCTACTCCAAGCTGACACTGGGTCTGCAACTAAGCCTCTGGTTAACTGTCTATTTTGTTTGCGTTGGGAAGTTTACCAGTTGGCGTGCACTTCATTTTTTCTTTTATGGCCACTTAAATCAATCATGAGCAGCTACTTTTGTGAACCATGTCTCCAGAGTAGTTTTCTGTGGATACTCCCAATTTCCCTGGTACAGCAGCTACAGGACCTCTCAGGGATTCTCTATAACACTGTAATGAGCTGAAGTGACTCAAACAAATCAAGATCTTTGTGGAAATGCTTTCAGGACAACACTAGTATTTCTCTACTTAGTAGAAGTACTAGTTAAATATTACAATACTATATCTTTACAGGAAAACATACGTGAATTCAAGCTGCATAGCATACTCCTTTGATATGAACGGGATCTGGTCTGGAGCCAAACGCTTAGCCAGCTGTAGTGCGCTGTCCCAGTGCTGCAAATCTCTTCTCATCTGTTACCAAAAGAAATTATTTGAAGTCAGCTTTTTTTTTGGGGGGGGGGGGGCAATCTTCTGATGTAAGCATCAAATACTGAATTATTATACTATTTTCTAGTATTAAAAATACAATTACCAATGTTAGAATCTTGACTGGATTCAACAGAAAGTTTGAGACAGATGATAACAAGAAGGTGTTACTGTAATAAGAGGCGTAATACACACTTATCTTAAGCAGTTGACAGACCCATATCATTATGACTCAAAATGTTTAGAAATACTACAAAACTGAGCAGAATTATCACCATGTAAAATAATCAGGTAGTAGTGTATATTAGGTTGGCAAGAAAAACAATTAACATCTGACAAAGTTTTAGGCAACTTAACTGGGTACCTCAAGTGCAGCAACAGGACAGGTGGATGCCAGATATAAATCCTGAGCCAGATTAAAGTCATTAGTAAACATGGCAAGATGTCCGGCTAAAAGGTTGTGGTCTTCTATTCCCTATAAAATAAAATAAAAATACTGAGTGCTACAACTGTCCAGATGATGAGCCTATTACAAATTCTTGTCATCTATTACTAATTTTTAAAAGATTCTACAGATCCAACTACCAGGTCATGTCTGTGCATGTGTCACTCTTCACCCAGAAAAAATATGGCACACACTTTTACTGTATGATATGCACAGTGACATAATTTGTTTAAAACCTCTCTCATTACACAAGAAATGGGACACTCCTCAACGTACATGTAAGGGCTGCCATCAAATAGGAAAGAGCAGATTCTACCCCCAATACACGGCAGTCAGCAAAATGTAAGGGCCCAATTTTAAAGCCCTCATTTGAACAGTTCCAATAAAGCTAATGGGACTCCTCACATAAGTAAGAGTTGCAGAAGTGGATACCCGTACAATACATACACAAATCAGAAATATGTTTTTTTAGGGTTTTGGCATTTCACAAAAACAGCTGAGGCATTCAAATTACCACAGTTTTTCAGTGGTTTTTAAATGAGAAAATGTTTGAATGCCCTTACCATTAAAACTGTCCAATATCATATTCCTCCTGGAGGCATTCTGCACCAAAAAATTAAAAATTCTGTGCCAAAAATTAAAAATTCTGCACACAATATTTTAAAATTCTGCAAAATTCTGCAAATTTTGTGTGTGAAAATAACACTACATCATTGCACTAATTTCAGTTATTTGGGGAATCTATTTCAAAATACCTGTCAGCACGTATGTCTGTAACAATACAAACACACAAAATTTTCCCCAGGAGTAGAGAGTTAAAGAAACACCTATGACAACCCAGATCCTGTGTCTCTGCCCCCTTCCCGCCCCAACCCAGAGCCCAGCCAGGGGGCCAAACACCCACAACCCCTCCCCTGCCAGAGTGAAGCCATGCCTGCCCCCACAGCCAATACACCTGAACCCTCTCTCCCCCATGGGCCAGATACCCGCACCGTCTCCCATTCAGAGCCCAGCTATAGGACCCCATTGCCCAGATATCCACACCTGCCCAGAGCCCAGCCGTGATTCCCCAAGGCCTGATACCCACTCCTTTCCCCCCCACAGAGCCAGGGATCCAGAGGGAGAAACAGCCTGATGATCAGTTCCAGGCTTGCATGGAGTTTTCTGTGCACCGCCCTCTCCTTGCCTCAGGGCATGCTGGGAACTGAAGCTGCCAGGAACCTTCTAGCTCCTGCCCCCTCCCCCCAGCAGTGTCTTATGTGTGAGCTGGGCTCTGCTGGGTCTAGCAGCACTGCAGCCCATTTCTGTAGGGGAAAGGAAATTCTGCATTGCGCAGTGGTGCAGAATTCCCCCAGGAGTAAATATCAGCAATTTGCAATAGAACAGTCTAACATTTCCTATTTTAATATGCATTTTTAAGATGCACTATTGCAAAGTATTGATCTTAGTTACAATGTAACAATTATGAACATTTCTCAATAAAAACTATAAAAAAATGCTTCATTCTGAATGTCTTGATTGTCTCTGTAAAATCTATACTGTATGAGTAGACACATTGTTGTAACTATAGTATATATATTTGAACAGTATAGAAACTGAATGGAAAGAAGAACAGAGAGAAAGGAATGAGGAAAATGAAATAACATAAAAATGCTCCAATTTTCTGCTTTGTTTTCTTCAAATATATATTACTATGTATACATATATTGTTTTATTAATTTTGGATAAAAAACCCACATTAATGCAACATATTAAGGTTACCTACTTGAACACAAAAAAACTAGAAATGCAAAAGTTTAGTTTCTAAAGGTAATACGAACTCCCACACATTACACACACTATAAATATTACTTGTACATTTAGAAATCTAGTAATCAAAATTACTATATACCATTTACATACAGAATGTGCAAAAGCAAAACATCAACAAAGCAGTGAAAAGTAGTAAACAGAACATATTATTGCCAGCACCCAGTGCCAAGAGGCAAAACAACAGCAGGGGTTTGTTACCCGGTGTGTTTCACTCAATCATCACAACCGGCCTGGAGAAGTAGAAAAGTTTATTTGCAGCTGCAAACAAGGTACAGGGAGAATAGAATCTCAAATCCTGCACACCAGAGCAGGTCATTACACACACTTTTATATTCCTTGATGCTACTGCACTACACATCAGCCAATTAAAAAAACTTTGCACAAATATTCTGCCTTCCTTATGTGCGTTACAACAATGTTTATTTCCTGCAACCTCTAACAAGCATTCCTAGCAACTTAAACAACCAGCACATCCTGCCTGGCCTTGTAACTATCTCCTATTATTTTTAACTTGGCGTCAGCAAACCTTACACTATAAGGCATTATCTACGGGCTGCAACATTGTTTTAAAAGCAAAAGAACTTACTCAAACCAGCCAGGCCTGAATTCTATTAAGGGGGGTTAAGAAGAAGCCCTTAGGCCTTCAGCAGGAAGACTTCCTCAACCCTTATGGCCTTCCATCCCCTCGACTTAACTAGTGGCCATGCCCTGGGATCTCCAACAATATGGAAATATTTTTTTGTGACTTCATATACAAAAAATGAAATGATGACACTAATGTTATATATGTTATATTTAGAAAACCAAACAGAAAAATTATAAAGTAAAGTTTTGAACTAAAGCCTTTATAAGGGCTCTGAACCGTGAGGTGGACAAATTAACAACAAATATGACAACCAGGAGCAATCTTCATGACAACACATACACAATCCAGTTGCCAAATTCTGATTTTAGTTACACCATTGTCAATCCAGAGAGACTCCACTTATTTCAGTAGTTACTCCAAATGAGATCAGAACATAGCCTTAAGATTGTGAAATATGAGGAGAAAGCAGAAGCAACTGCAAAATTTCTTGGTGGGCTCACAAAATCTTTAAAAGCTCCTGTAGCTCACCTTAAAAAAAAAAAAGTAATAGAAATTTTAGTATTCAAACAGTGTTGGGAATTGTCTATGTTAGAGACAAAGGCCAAAAGAATTTGGTAATTTTTAACACTTCCAAAATGTGTAACTCACAGGTGCTTTGCAAGTAGTGCCATTTCAACCATATCAAAGTTTCAAAATCGGCGTTGTCCTGTCTTCTGTTTATTTCTAGAAACATAATACCGTGTTCTCCTTTCTCAGGAATTGTCAGAACCCAGAGGGTGACCCATAGATCTTGTGTTATGAGGAGTAAATAACACATTTTTAAAAATTACACAAAAACATAAGAAATGCCACAGTGAGTCAGACCAATGATCCATCTATCCCAATAACCTGTCTTCCGACAGTGGCCAATGCCAGGGGCTTCAGAGGGAATGAACAGAACAGGTAATCATCACGTGATCCTTCCCCTATTGCCCATTCCCAGCTTCCGGCAAACAAAGGTTAGGGACACCATTCTGCCCATTCTGACTAATAACCATTGATGGACCTATGGTCCATGAACTTGCCTAGTTCTTTTTTGAACCCTGTTATAGTCTTGGCCTTCACAACATCCTCTGGCAAAGAGTTCTACAGGTTGACTGTGTGTTGTGTGAAGAAATACTTCTTTTTGTTTGTTTTAAGCCTGCTGCCTATTAATTTCATTTGGTGACCCCCTAGTTCTTGTGTTATGAGAAGGAGTAGATAACACTTCCTTATTTATTTTCTCCACACCAGTCATGATTTTATAGACCTCAATCATATCCCCCCCCTTAGTCGTCTCTTTTCTAAACAGAAAAGTCCCAGTCTTATTAATCTTTTCTCATATGGAAGCTGTTCCATCCCCCTAATCATTTTTGTTGCCCTTTTCTGAACTTTATCCAATTCCAATATATCTTTTTTGAGATGGGGTGACCAGATCTGCACACGCTATTCAAGATGTGGGTGTACCATAGATTTATATAGAGTCAATATGATATTTTCTATCTTCTTATCTAATCCTTTCCTAATGATTCCTAACAGTCTGTTATCTTTTTTGACTTCTGCTGCACATTGAACAGATGTTTTCAGAAAACTATCCACAATGACACCAAGATCTCTTTCGTGAGTGGTAACCGATAATTTAGACCCCATCATTTTATGTGTGTAGTTGGGAGGGATTATGTTTTCTAATGTGCATTACTCTGCGTTTATCAACATTGAATTTCATCTGCCATTTTGTTGCCAAGTCACCCAGTTTTGCGAGATCCTTTTGTAACTCTTTGCAGTCTGCTTTGGACTTAACTACCTTGAATAGTTTTGTATCATCTGCAAATTTTGCCACCTCATTGTTTTACGCTCTTTTCCAGATCATTTATGAATATGTTGAATCGTACGGGTCCCAGTACAGACCCCTGCGGGGGACACCACTATTTACCTCTCTCCAGTATGAAAACTGACCATTTATTCCTATCCTTTGTTTTCCATCTTTTAACCAGGTACTGATCCATGAGAGCATCTTCCCTCTTATCTCATGACAGCTTACTTTGCTTAAGAGCTTTTGGTGAGGGACCTTGTCAAAGGCTTTCTGAAAAATCTAAGTACACTATATCCCCTGGATCACCTTTGTCCACATGCTTGTTGACCCCCTGAAAAGAATTCTAGTACACTGGTGAGGCATGATTTCTCTTTACAAAAACCATGTTGACTCTTCCCCAACAAATTGAGTTAGGCTTATCAGGCTGTAATTGCCAGGATCACCCCTGGAGCCTTTTAAAAAAATTGGCGTCACATTAGCTATCCTCCAGTCATCTGGTACACAAGCTGATTTAAATGAGAGGTTACATACCACAGTATATGTACATGTCGTACTACAGTGCTAAATGCAAATCAACTAATTAAGGAGGGATTCCAGTAAGCATCTAACACATTCTGGAATATGCAAGCTGCCTAGAGATGGCTCTGGTTTCTCCTCAATACATACTCTTCCTCTCCCGCTAAAATACTGACACCACTAAAATAATTCTTCTTCAATATAAACACACAACACCAGAATTCCAGCAATCTTAAAAGTGCATTTTAATCTTAATCTTTCATATTTTTACAAAAATGTTTGGTAATTATTTTAAAATGTTACCTTTATTTGCTCTAGTGACATCACCATCCCAACATTTCCAATTGTCCGATAAACACGTACTGCAAACTCCAATTCCATGTGATGTAGGCAAGCTCTGGCCAGCTCATTCCAACCAGATTGATCATTCAGAAGTTTGCATACCTCCCATGCTTCAGAAAACCTATGCACGGTGAAAAACAAAACTAAAACGAACAGTTGCATTCAATGTGTATTTTATTAGAACATTTTCTTTTAAACCTCAAAAACTAGTTAACCTCAAAGCAGAGGGAAACTGGGGACTGACTAATTTCTAGGTTTGAGGGAAATTGCTAGGAGCCCTGTGACAGGAAAAAACAGGGCCACATGAAAACACCAGCCTGCAGCTTATACAAAATTGCCCCACCTTTCTCCGTCAGAAAAATACTTTATTTCTCTAGCTTACTTCTCACTTGGCACTACACCCTCCCATTGTACTGTTTTTTGCTCCTTTAGAATGGAGGGAGTGGGTGGCATGCATTTTCAGCCAGTATTGAGGCAGAAGCTACCATGCAGCCCAGAATAGGTCTTGAATAAATTACTGTAGCTCTTTCTTTACAGTAAGAAAAAGCATCATTGTGTCATTTGTTACTTGGCTACCCAGACAGACTAAGCACTTATACGGAATGATGGTTCAATATAACTTTATCAATATTCAGCAAGAGATTTTTAGAACACCAGTGTATGCTGTACTGTGTGCTTCAATCATAGAAGGAAATGATTAACCCATATAATTAAAAAGCAGACCTACCTTTTCAGCATTAAAGTCTGAGTAAGTATTTGTTTCAGCTCATTAAACCCGGTGTCTTTCAAAATGCCAAGGAAACTATGAGTACTAAGATAGATATTGTTTGTTTTCCCACTCTGAGTCTGACAGGTTAATTCTCCATTATACAAAAGCAATGGTTTGTGGGAAAAGGGAACTTTTGTGCCACCTGCCAAAATAACCTTGGACCCTGTATTAGGAGATCAGAAAAAAAAAGTTATTTAAAATGCTCCTTCATTATGACATGTTTAGCAACCAGTTGCAGTTGTGAACAGTTAAAAAACGTAAGAGTGAAGGAATCTTATTTTGAAAATCCCAACAGTTTTGTTCTTTTATCCTTTGGCATAGCAGCAGCACTACACCTGGACCAATCTGACTAATTCAAGGTGTCCTGTTTGGCATTCATCATTTACTGTATGTACCAAGTGTAAAAGTATATACCAAAAAAGAATTTGAAGAGCAACTAGCAAAAGACACAAAAAGTATGAGCAATTTTTTTTTAAGTACATCAGAAACAGGAAGCCTGCCAAACAATCAGTGGATGACAGAGGTGCCAAAGGAGCACTCAAGAAAGACAAAAAGCAAAATGACAAGTCTTCACTGCAGAGGATGTGAGGGAGATTCACACACCTGAGGAGGAACTGTCCCAGACTGAAATGTCAATAGAGGAGGTTTTGGAACAAACTGATAAATTAAACAGTAATAAGTCACTAGGATCAGCCAGTATTCACCCAAAAGTTATGAAGGAACTCAAAAATATGAAATTGCAGAACTACTAACTATGGTATGTAACATACCGTTTAAATCAGCCTCTGTAACAGATGACTGGAGGATAGCTAATGCAATGCCAATTTTTAAAAAAGGCTCCTAGCAATTACAGGCTGGTAAGCCTAACTTCAGTACCAGGCAAATTGGTTGAAACTATAGTAAAGAACAGAATTATCAGATACATAGATTAACACAATATTTTGCAGAAGAGTCATCATAGCTTTTGTAAAGGAAAACCATGCCTCACCAATCTATTAGAATTCTTTGAGGGTGTCAACAAGCGTGCTGACAAGGGTGCTCCAGTAGATATAGTATACTTGGACTTTCAGAAAGCCTTTATCTAGGTCACAAACCTTAAGCTCTTAAGCTCCTAAAGGCTCTTAAGCAAAATAATCGGTCATGGGATAAGAGGTAAGGTCCTCTCATGAAGCAGTAACTGGTTAGATACAGGAAACAAAATGTACGAATGGTCTATTTTCACAGTGGAGTGGGGTAAATAGTGGGGTACCTGAAAGAACTGTATGGGGACCTGTGCTATTCAACATATTCCTAAATGATCTGGAAAAGTGGGTAAACAGTGATGTGGCACAATTTGCAGACAATACAAAATTTCTCAACATAGTTAAGTCCAAAGCTGATTGTGAAGAGTTAAAAAGGGATCTCATTAATCCGGGTGACTGGAAAATGGCATATGAAATTCAATGTTGATAAGTGCGAAGTAGTGCACATTGGAAAACATTCAATTCTACACACAAAATGAGGGGTCTAAATTAGCTGTTACCACTCAAGAAAGAGGTCTTGTGTCATAGTGGATAGTTCTCTGAAAATGTCCGCTCAATGGCACAGTGGCAGTCAAAAAAGCTAACCGAACGTTAGGAACCATTAGGAAAGGGATAGATAGTAAGACAGAAAAGAGGAGGTACCTGTAACCAGAGGCTCTTTGAGATATGTGCAAACCCTCAGTGGAATACAAATAGGGATCACATGCACACCATGGGTCTGGAGTGGAGAATTAGAAAGTAGTGTCCATCGGTCTGCACATCCACCCTGACTTGCCTCATGGTTTCATCTGAAGAGATAAAAGGCGGGGCAGGCCGACTGCAACTCCAGTTCCTTCTCCACTGCAAATCCAGCAGATCTGCAGCAGAGGGGAAGGAGGGCAGGAAGCAGAATACAGATATGGGCCACACATTTCGAAGAACCTCCAGTTATAGGTCAGCAAACTCCTCCTCTCCTTCTTCGAGAGATGGGCCCTATTGTATTCCATTGAGGGTGATTAACAAGTGGCACCTAAATTGAAGGAGGATGCGAAGAAGCAGATGAAAGAGATAAGTGGAAGATAGCCATGCCTGGAGGAGGCATCCGTTACTGAGACATTCACCAAGACGTAATGTGCAGTAAAGATGTGTACTGAATTCCATGTGGCTGCTCTACATATATACCAAAGCAGTACATTGTGGAGGCAGGCCATGGTTGAAACCTGGGCTCTCACAGAATGGCCTACACCCCTGAGGATAGTGGCAGGCCAGATAATTGATATAGTGTAATGCACCCCAAAATCCACTTGGAGATTAGCTGTGTAGAGATTGCCTGCCTCTTAACAGTTTCAGCTATTGCAACAATCAATCTGGGTTTTTTCCTGATTGGTCATGGCCTCTGTAGGTAGAAGGCCAAGGCCCCACGGACATGGAGGTAGTGGAGTTGCAGTTTCTCTTCAGAGTTGTGTGGTTTCAGGAAGAAAGCAGGTAAGTGAATGGATTGATTTTCGTGAAACTGGGAAATGACCATTGGCAAAAATTTGGGATGCAGGTGTAAGGAGACTTTTCTTTATAGAAAATCATGAAAGGAGGGTTTGCCATCATGGCCCCAAGTTCACTGACCCTTCTTGCTGAAGTGACAGCAATGAGGAAGGCAATCTTCATGGAGAGGGACATAGAACATGATGCCAGCAGTTGAAAGGGCGATTGAGGTCCCACTGGGGAGTGATGGGTTGTACAGGTGGGAAGGTTTTGATGAGGCCTTTCCAAAACCTAGCAGTCAAGGGTGAGTAAGACAGAATGTTCCTCCACATGGGGCTGAAAGATGCTAATTGCTGTTAGGTGGACCTTAAGAAAGCGGAGGCCAAGCCCTGATGCCTTCAAGGACAGTAGGTAGTCCCGGAGGTGGGGAATCCCCACTCCTTCTGGGGAAAGTCCCTTGTACTCTGCCCCGGAGGAGAAGCATTTCCGCTTGGCTCGGTAACAACTCCTAGGGGATTCCTTCCTGCTGCTGGAGAGGATGTTTTGCATGTCTTATGAACACACCCCTTCCAGAGAATATGCCCATCCAAATACCCTGCTCTGAGGTGAAATGCATGTGGATTGGGATGGTTGATGTCGCTGTTGTGCTGCGTCAGGAGATCGGGGAAAGCAGGGATGGGAATTGGGGGACAGGTAGACATACAAAGGAGGTTGGGAAACCAAAACTGTCTGGGCCAGGAGGGGATGATCAGGATGACTGTTGCTCTGTCTTGTCTGATCTTGTGTAGTACTCATGGTAGGAGTTAGAGAGGAGGGAAGACGTAATTGAGTTGGTCTGACCAGGAGAGGATGAGAGCATTGCTCAGAGTGGTGCCTCAGACCTCCTCTGGAGCAATATGTGCTGCATTTTCTATTCACTGGGGATGCGAAAAGGTCTCTGGTCAGAGTTTCCCTCTTGTTGAAGATGTCCTATACCATGGTGTCATGAAGTGTCCAATCGTGGTCAATCATGAACTGTGTACTGAGCAAGTCTGCAATCATGTTGTGTGCCCCTGGGAGATAGGCTGCAGATAAGATGATCTGGTGGGTGATGCACCAGTTCCAAAGGGTGATTGCTTCGGAGCACAGAGTCATCAACCTCGTGTCCCTATTTGTTGCAAAGAGTCGTAGTGTTGTCCAACATTATGAGAATCTGATGGGAATGGATGAGCAGGAGAAAGGCCTGACATGCCATCCTTACAGCTCAGAGCTCCAGAATGTTGGTGTGCATTCTGGACACCCAAAGAGTCCATGTTTCCTGTGTCATGTGTTCACCCATGTGCACTCCCCAGCCTAGGAGGGATATGTTAGTGATAACTGTCTTGTGTGGGGAGCGAGGGTGGGAAGGGAACCCCTACGTGTTCCCTCTACCAGTGGAGGGACGAGATTACCAGGCGTTTGTGTGTGGAGGGGTGGCCTGTGAGCACGAGGTCCACAGCATGATGGTTGGGTGAGTAAACCAACTGGAGCCACAGCCGGAGGCAGTGAAGATGGAGATTTATATGCATGAGGCCATGTGTCCCAGGAAGGATAGGGAAGTCCTGGCTGTGACTGAAGGACTGTTGACTACACGAGTTATGAGTTCTTTCAGGGTCTGGAACCTGTCCCATGGTAGGTAGGTTTATGCAGAGACAGTTGATAGTGGCCCCTATAAAGTCTAGGTATTACATGAGATTTAAGGTTGATTTTTGGCATTGATATTGACCAAGGGAGAACAAAGGGGGATAAGCAACATGGACGTTAAAACCTGGGCTTCATGTCTGGACCGTTTTGCCGATGCCAGTCATTGAGATATGGGAATACGAGGACCCCATAACTCCTGATTTGGGTTGCTACAATGGAGAAAACCTTGGTGAAAACTCTAGGAGCTGAGGTAAATCCACACAGTTTATTAATACATTTAGCACAGTCACAAACACCCCAACTCAGTAAGGTAGATAGAGATACTACAGAATGTACATTTGCACATCCATAAGGAGTATCAAAAGAAAGAAAAAACAAAAACTGTACTTACCAGAAAGTATTGAAAGCTCAGTCTTCCCCCTCCCCACGCTCCATATGTCCTAGAGACTGTAGCCCATATCCTGTACTCCGCCAGGCTAACAGTCTCTGGACCTTTAACATGTGATTTCTAAGCCAATAGGAAATGAAAAGTCACTGAGGCTTTGACCAGCAGCTAACATGTTTCTATGAAAATCTGGGGGGAGCACGGGCTGTTATAGCAGCGACAAGGAAGAGATGAGAGAAAACATGGGTGGAAATCAAATCAGTGTCTTGCATGTCTGTACACTAAAGTAAGTAGTATGAGGTATAAGCAGGAAGAACTTGAAATGCTAGTTAATAAACACAACTATGACATAGTTAGCACCACAGAGACCTGATGGGATAATATGCATGACTGGAATATTGGTACAGAAGGGTACAGCTTGCTCAGAAAGAACAGGCAGGGAAAAAAGGGAGGTCGTGTTGCCTTATATATTAAAAATGTATACACTTGGACTGAGGTTGAGCTGGAAATAGGAGATAGACTTGTTGAAAGTCTCTGGATAAGGACAAAAGGGGTAAAAAACAAGGGCGATGTCATGTAGGAGTCTACTACAGTCCATGTTATCAAGAAGATGACGTGGATGAGGCTTTTTTTAAA